AACATCATTCAGCATACCTGAAGATGAATATTGTGCCACTATCATAAGGTTTTGCAGCATTCTCGGTTCCCATCACCAAAACATTAGAAGCATCTGAAACCCACAAGATGTATTTACTGCAAATATGTGTACCCTTCAAACAAGAATGGAATGCGGTACTTTCTGTGTACGGTCAAAAACATAAAAAATTGCTGCAGACGAACTGACCTCTGGGAAATTCTTTGATTTCAACGAAGCCATGAGCGATGAGATCGTGACAGAGTGTTGGTAAATGGTACTGATCTGCAGTTGCGTATGCGATGCACTGCATCATGTCCTGGAAAACGTAGTTAGATACATGATTTATTTATTTTTGTTAAAATCATCTTTGGCATATATAATTATCACACACCTCCTCCAGACTGGGCTGACTGGTTCTTGAAGGCTGTTTGGTTCTTGGTCCCTTAAAAGTCCTTTTTCCCAGCATGCCTCCTTGTTTCAGCACTGACTTGGTGGCGTTTGTTGTGGACTGCAATCTCATTTGTAAACTCCATGTTTTGGATTTTAAATTTAAAGGAGTCAGCATTTCAAAATGTGGTCTCTGACACACTCCCCTCGGCAAAAAGCATCTATGGTTGTGTAAACCGGTGTGACAATTCCTCCAGTCTTTGAGAAGGTTTTGTGTAGACGCACTGGATGCCAGTGTTGTGCGGTTTAACCTGTTGGCGGTGACACTGTTTAATCTATTTAGTGTCCTGAGAGCAAAACCACAGGCTTGTGTCCTTTTCAAAGGCTGATGTAACCTCCATAAAATCTTGAGAGACATGCCTGTATGAATCAAACAGTTTCAGCATTAAAACAGTGTCAAATTATGTCTACATCATCATGCATGTTGTGGCCAAGAGGCCTTTATTTGAACTGACCTTGAATGACAAGCATGTCAACACACTGCATTGGTCATATCTAATTATGTATAACCTTCCTCACAATTAATTATAAAGGTCAAATGCAATTGAAGCTTCATTCTGATCAGCTGACATAAAGCAGCTACACTATTCATTGTTTTGTACTGTACTGTAAACGCGAGCTGTTCACTAACTTATATTAGATTCTAATAATTCACAGTAATTCATTCTCTTTAACCTTTAGCGTACCTGCCGCGTCCCGTCCCGCCAAATATTAGAACGTTCGGTGACAGAAAGTGTTACAACGTAGATACAAATGTTGCAACATTCTCAAAAATTCACATAAAGTTTATTTGACAGTTCGAACTGCACGAGTGATCCGGGCACTTCCTGTGTTTTGGTGACGTCCAATTGAACGTAAAAGTCGCTCCGCCCCTACAGACTTATTCGGATTTTATGAATTTTATTTTGAACCTTATTGTTTATTTGCTAAGTTTCGTGTAAAAGCATATGCAAATCTAGGTTTGTTTGTTCTCTTAATATGTTTATAATAGGACATCGAGATTTTCTTCCTATTTCATATCTATCTATCTTTCTATCTATCTGGTCGCCGTGATTTTGTGATTTTGTGATTTTAAAAAGGTTAAAATCGAGGACAATTGTGATACAAGAGTAATTTGTAAATAGCAAATATTTAACAAGACTCTGCAGCAGGTAGATAGGAGGCAGTACATAAAATTTTAAAATAAAATGAAAACATTGTAAATCGGTAATGCTGATAAAAGCAATCTACCAAACGTATAAATGTGACTTGCGGTCACTGCATTAACATTTGATGGCGCGCCCTCTAATGGTGAACACGTTAAATGTTGTTGTGTTGCTTGGATACCTGATAAACTACAGCGACACATTAACATGAATAACCTACAGAAAACTGAGCATTGAGAGAAGATTTGATATAGACGTGGAGCAATAACAGAGACAAGTGAGCTTTTGTACATTGTGCCAGTTTACAGAGTGATATATTCTCATTTTTCTTTACAAAGAGAATTGTTGCCTTTAATTGCTTTACTGTCTACTGCTATAGCCATCATTTGATTTTGTGTCAGGATCAGTAAAATGATAAAACATCTACAGGACTTGCCAACAAGGACTAATTTAGTCAGTCAATCAAATTGTGATTAATGTCTTATACCACTATATCTTTTTATGATCATATACTGTATATACGCTGTTTTGTTAATTCATAACCAAAATGCATTGCATTTTATTACTATAAAAAAGTTAATGAATATTGATATTCATTGTGCCCAGCAAACAAAAAGTATGTTCTAAGAATTAAATTATGAAAGTGTTTTTTTTTTCTTAATGTCTAGTTTTGTTTTGTTTTAAAAACTTCTCTGAACATTCTAAAACAAGTAGTTACATTTAATATAGAATATCAGAATATCAAAGGAAACATTTCTAATTTTAAAAAAAGATCCATGAATTATGCATAAAGTTTTTGTGCTTTTTAAACATTTTGAGAATATTATTAAAACCAGAACCAGAAATCCTTTGAACGAACATTCTAATGTTACTGGAAGAACATTTGTTCATAACTTTGAGAGAGAGCCTTGCCAGAACATTCTGTAAATGTTCCGTTAGCTGGGTGAATGTTACTGTTGCTATGGATACATCAGGCTCTGTCTGTCAGCATTCAGGTTTGACAGACAGCGGTTTGGCAATGGAGGAGTCTGTAATCCAGCAGCACCTCACACACTATAAACAAACCACTGAGACGGCGCGTGAGGAGCTGGCAGTCCTGCAGACCAAATACAACAAACTCCAATCACAGGTCCCTATATTCTCTGGTCATTTGTGGTGTTTTGGATGCACATTCTTTATGTGAAATAACTAATGCTTTTAACAGCTCTTGGAAAGCCAATCCAAAGTTGCATCTCAGGAAGAGACTCTGAAAAACTTAAGGGATGCTGTAGATGGACATGAAGAGAAAGAGGCGAGACAGGAGTCTCTCATCAGCTCGCTCAGAGAACGCAACTACAACACAGAGCAGGAGATGCTCTACATCACCTCCTCCAAAAGCTTCATGGACATGAGAGTACAGACACTTACAAAAGAGAATGAGGAGATCAAGGGGAAAATCATGGAACTTGATATCAAATCAAAGTGAGCATTTACTGCACACTACTAGTCAAACGTCTGGACACACCTAGAATTTCTTTGTTTTATAATTATACAATTTTTTATATTTTAGTATAACAGTAAATTAGCTTGCACCTCTCTAAAGTCATGAGGTCCATTCTGGGATGCTTTTTTAAACAGTATTTTTTAAACTTCTGTAATAAAATTAATTTATTCATAATTTAAATTATTTTTTTACATTTTAAATATTTTTTAAAATAAATTTATTACTTTTACACCAAATAATGTTCTTTTTAGCAACATCATATGACCCCTTTAATACATCCTTGCTAATGTGTTTTAAAAATCTTACTCACCCCAAGTACATATATATGAACAGGAAATGGATTAACTTTGTTAAAAGTAACTAGTATGTTCCTACATTGCAGTTACTGGACTTCTACACGGTGGTGACTCAGATGTTAGGCGTTGACTGCACAGGTTGCGTCCCAAACTATGAAGTTCTCAGAAGGCTGGAGGTTCTGCTTCAGTCACGTCACTGTCACTGTCCTGCTCATCTACACCAGCATCACGCTCCTCAGATCTGGGAAGCTCCAGTTTCCTCCATAAACATCGCTCATTCTCATGAGTTCCAACCCCAGGCACTGCCAGCTCCCTCCAGTACAACCTCGGACAGCCCAGCGGCCCCCGGGGATAATCATAACATTAAAGCAACTGTAAGTTGTTTTCCCCTTGAAATACAAGTTTCAAAATCGTTCTGATGGTACACTGACTTCTGAAAAGACAAGTGGCATTGCTTCTTTCCCATGCGTTTGCTCCACGAAAAGGCGGATCGCTTTACGGCGGCAACAAATGCACGTGTGCAGCTACCCACTGTAATTACAACAGTGATATATTTATGACAGTAAATTACACTTAACTGTAGGGGCTCCAAAGTTACAAAAATAGACAAAACTACATACAGTTGCTTTAATGTTCATCCCAATCCCAGTTGAAGAGCCTGGATATTTTGTGGTTTGGATGCTGCTGGTTTCCCCACCAGGCTTCTTAACTAGCTCAACCAGCACAATTTCATTGGTCAAACAACAAGAAGTATTTTCTGTTTAAACCAGGATTTATCTGCACCATTCTGGGAACAAAAAGCACCTCCTACTATTGATAGTAATTAAAAAGCAACCATGTATATTTTAACCCCTGTACAACTTTTTCTTTCTCATTATTTATTCCTTCCCTTTTCTAGCTTGTACTTATTTGAACAATGCCTAAAACTTGGTATTTCAAGCACTTCCTGTGTCTGTTTGCCTCTTTAAGAAGAATCGCTTTATGTATTCCCCAATTGTAAGTCGCTTTAGATAAAAGCGTCGGCAAAATGACTAAATGTAAATGTATTGTGACAAAATAAACAAATTTTATGCATGCATCATATTAATGGAAAGTATTTCATTAAATATTAAGAGATGTTTACCATGTTCGTTGCTATAAATGAGACTCTGGGTTAATGGAAGTATGCAATGATTTGATGTTTACCCAGCTAACAAAAAACGTGTTCTAAGGATGTTTAGCTAATGTTCCCATTAAGATAGAGAAATGTTGTTTCTGAATATTCTAAGAACATTCAAAACATCCAGTTAATGTTTTAAAATTTTAAACGTTAGTGAGAACACTGAGAGAACATTCCATTTTATCCTTTTGCAAACATGGGAAGTTACTTTTGAATGTTCTCTGTATAAATACAATGTATAAAAAACATTTTTATTAAAGACCAGATCATTTTAAATTAACATTCTATTAATGTTACTGGAAGAATGTTCATTCATAACAGAACCTAGTCAAGTTCTGAGAACGTTCCCTGTTAACTGGGTAATACAACCCTGTAAATATTACGAGCAAATCATTTCAGTGTTTAAACTGCGACTCCATCAGCAAATAGGTAAGAAAACAATTATGATTCACAATTAAACAAATTATGGTCATTCAGTCTTTAATTGTAATGAAAAATCCTTATCAGCAGGTTATGTGTATATCATAGGTGTATTTTCATTGCAAAGGTTTCTTAGGCCTTAGCAAACTGTACATACATAAATATCCTTTTCTTTGATATCAGTGGTTTGCATACAGTATATTCATGACACGGTTACCTTGAATATTACAGCAGGTTAGTTAAGATCAAAAATTAAAAAATAAACAATGACTAATCCAATAAAATCAACGATTGTTTTAAAACCAAAGGATGAACACATGCAAAAAATACATATAAAAAATAATTGCAATATAGAGTTCATAAATGTTTTATCTTCTCTTTTTTACAAGTTATTCATTTGATACAAGCAACCCAACACCTTTCAGTTTTTTCCCAATAAACTTGATCTTTCCATGATTAAAAAAGACCTGATTAACTCACAGTGAGTTAATATCCTACGCTCTAGTTTCCTCCTTCACATCAAACATGGAAGAACATCAGTAGCACTAACGACACTTGTCTGACAGCAGTTTTCAGTGCAATAGGCTTCGTTCTAACATCTACACGAGACTCAGAGTGACATACTGTAAAATTAGCAGCTGTATTTGCTGTACAAGGACACGATAATGGTTGCCAAACTCAACGGCACTTGTCAATTTAGAGGGAAACCCGACGCTGAGCTGCCGTCTTAACTTCAAAGTGGAGCTCACATAGGTGGAGGCCCCTTGGTGTAGCTGAGCATTGGGTGGAAGGAGCCTGCGAAGTTGTTGAGTTGGGCACAGCTGTAGTGGTCCTCAGACGCAGGCACAAGACAGGCCACCACCAGCACCAGCAGCAGGAAGATCTGCAGCGGCAGTGCGGCCCAGAGGACACGCTTCAGGAAGGTTTTGCACCAGGATGGTGGTTCTTCCTCGTCAGAATGGGAGGAACCGGATCCAGCGGCGTTGCGAGACCTGCTATACATGAGACGGCACAAGAGGTGGAAACGCTCAGATGTAAAACTAGGTGAATGAGAGAAATTACACTGGTTATCTAGCTATTCCTAACGGTAGCTAAAGAAATGGGCTTTGTAGATTCACAAAAGACTCTTAAAATTAAAGGTTCACTGGATATTGGGCATTGATGATTCCATGAAGAACAGGGACCTTATATATGAATGCTTAGATAGGTGTCGTATTCCTATAGGTAGATGGGGATCAGCTGAGAGTCAGCTGATGCGAGCTTGACTAACGTGACCTGCCAGAACTAACGCTACGCTAGATTTTTATTATAACATTATTTGGTAATTCTATTGTGAATACACATCTTTAAAGGGGACATAATGGAATTACGTCTTATATTAAAGGGACAACAGACTTATATTCAAAAATAATCGTAATCACAAACAATTCATTCAAAATAAAATACTTGATTATTTTATATTTAATATATTAAAAAATATACTTAATTATTTAACTTAATTATTTTATAATAAATTAACTTCTTGTCATTTCACCATAACCCACTACAAAACAGCTGTTTGTGAATAACCACGTTTAATACGAAAACATATATATTTTTTAACATTCTATAATAAAAACAAAAACAAAAAATGATTATAATGTGGTAATTATATTGTGAATATGAATTTTTAAAGGGGACACACTGGCATTATTTATACGTATGGGACAATAGTTTTTAAAATAAACAATTATCTTAACTATATAAATCTTATAAACTATAAAATCTTAACAATTATCTTATATAAAAAATAAATATTATTAAACTAGAATTTTACTATGATCCACTACAAAAAAATGTGTGAATAACCATCATTAATTCTGACACATCATGGTAAACCAGATTTTGCTGTTCCTTTCAATTATCTTGTATTAAAATAACATATTATCATTATTAAACTTATTTTATCATTTAAAAAATCTTGTCCATAACCCACTGAATGCGGACACATGGGAAATCAGATTTTTTGCACCTATCAGAACAGTCCCACCGGTAGAGAGTCCTCTGTAACGCACGTCACGTTTCTCTAGCATGTCATCAAACTGCACGGATGGCAGATTGGAGGAGGGAGATGATGATTGATTAGTCGGTGAAAGAGCAGATGTGACACACCAGAGTGAGAAAAAGAGAAAGTTTGTTCATTGCAGACGCTTGCTGAATAGACAAGAAAAATGAACGGCTCAGCAGCAAGCAGCCTAGCGTATCCATATTTACAGCCGCAAAATATAGAAAACAAGCACGCTTTTGGTCTGGTGCATGAGCTCCCTTAGTAGTGTCTATCTCAGCTCCCTAAGCTGAGCAGTGTCTAGAATCACAGAAGATGATGGAAGTCATCAGCATGAGCCTGTAGGTTGCTAATATTTCTGCATGCGTGACATGCTGCAGGTCTGTCAGGTTTGTAGGACACTGTCCACTTAGGGGTCAACCCAGAGCCATTAGAGCTAGGGGCCTACGGTCAGGTCATGAGTTGAGTTCCATTATCTTCCAAGTGTTCTAGAAACCAGGAGAAAGGTACCTGTGAAGTGGACTGCTCACACAGGCTCCGGGCTGTGACAGACTACTTTTGCCCCGTGGCTGTTTGCAATGAACAGGGGGGTAAAAGAAAGAAAGAATGTTTCAGTCCAGGCAAATAAAGACAAAGCTACTGATGAAAGAACCCCCAAAAAAGAAGAGCACCAACAAAATCAAATGAGGGAGTGACCGCACTTCTATGGAGACAAAGAAACTGGTTCTTTATGACACCCTTCTCAGAAAAACCACCTTGCCAACAAGGGATCCTTTAATATTTGAAAAAGCTTTTAAAGGGCATTTCGTCTGTTTTCTGAGAATGTCACAGGTCATATTTTACCCAGGATTACATAAAGGCCATAATACAGGAAAAAGCTTTAAAATTAATTTTTTTATTATTAGGAAAAAATATATATATATATTTTTTTTAAATATTATATTATCATTAAATATTATAAATATTACAAACAAATTAAGTAACATGATAAGCTAATAATTGTAATTATTAGAATTTAATTCATATAATTATTAGAATTTAACTATTTTATTTTAATTATTAAAATAATTTAAAATATACATACATTACAGTGATAGTTTGTTGACTTATGCATCATTGTATTATTGTAATGAGAATCTGATGAGAATTCTTAAAAATAAAATAAAAAAAATATAAAAAAACAAATAAAACATCTGGATGCATTACAGTAACAATGTGAGAGGAAAATGTGTTTGAATGTCATTATAATGTTTATAATCATTATAATCATAAAATGTTAATGGACCAAAAAGGTTTCATTTTCTTCATGCTAAATTTTGAGGTTAAATATGACCTGGACATGTTTTTTTTTTTTTTTTTTCATAGAACCAGTATTCCTTGATGACTACAGTGTGGGAATCTAGAATAAACATGAATGTGGGAAATGAGTGGAGGAACAAACCAAGCCAGAATTTAGGGCTGTGATACGGGTGTGACTAGTTGTTTAAAGGATCAATCAATAGGATGTAGAAACACAACAGGGACGAATCACATCTCCAGTTCTGATTCAGCTCTTGCATTAGAGGAGAGCATGCTGGGAAGATCTTGAGTTTTGGAGGAACTCTGAGCATACTAATAAGGTGTCAAGTGTGTTTTTGGAGGCCAAGTTCCAGGTACATTCAAGTGTCAACCTATCAGCTCAACGTGACAAGCAAACACTGATCTCTGAAGGGCCCAACAGAACGTGAGGGTGATGTGTTACCGATCGCCGGCGACTGGGAGTGCTGCGTCCAGACACGGGGCTCAGGGAACCGGAAGTGTCCAACTCATCAGCAGATGACCAAGATGACAAGTCCTACAGAGATTGTGTGTGATGAGAAGGGTTGGAGAAAGACAGTGTGAGTAAAAAAACTAGACAGACTGCACATCAGGGTTATTGCAGTTAAACTAAAATTATTAAAAAATGTCACTTGAAATAAAATAAAAAAACTTCAACTGAAATGAAAGGCACTATATAAATAATAAAATTAATTTAAAAAAATATACAGTATATACAAAAATATACAACAAATAATCAAAAACTTATTTAATTTCAGCTAGTCGCCTGTATATATATATAATGACAAAAACACAACAAAATGACTAAAACTTAAACTGAAATTAAAATGAAAACAAAATATTGAAATAAAAACTAGTTCAAAATATTCATTAAAACAATAATAGTATCTCAATGATACTAAACACTGCTGCAAATAAAAAATTCTCAACCTTTTTGAATTGAAGACTTCAAACACAAAATTCAAAGCCCCCTATATAATATAATATAATAATAAATTAAAAAAATATACAGTGTATACAAAAATATACTACAAATATACAAAAACGTATTTAATTTCAGCTACAAATAATCAAAAACTTATTTAATTTCAGCTAGTCGCCTATATATATATATAATGACAAAAACACAACAAAATGACTAAAACTTAAACTGAAATTAAAATGAAAACAAAATATTGAAATAAAAACTAGTTCAAAATATTCATTAAAACAATAATAGTATCTCAATGATACTAAACACTGCTGCAAATAAAAAATTCTCAACCTTTTTGAATTGAAGACTTCGAACACAAAATTCAAAGCCCCCTATATAATATAATATAATATAATATAATATAATATATAATATAATATAATATAATATAATCAGTCATTTATATTTACTTATTTATTAATCATTATAGGGGATACATTCATCTATAAAAAAGGTAAATTAACCACAATTCAAGTTTCAAGAACTGTAATTGTATTGTATATTGTACTGTTCTAAAATAAAAAAAATTAAACGAAAAAGAAAAATTTCAGTTTATATTTTGATTTCATGTTTGTTTGCATGCATTTGTTAAGTTTAATTATTTCAACATACTATTACTATTAATAATAATAATAATAACAACAACAACAATTTCAGTCATCCTGTGGCCCATCCTTCTCCTGGCTGAGAACCACTGATTTAGAAATATTTGTGAATTTCATGTTTACAGGCACTAATATCATTTAGGTCAAACACAGGCAAACTGTGTGCATTAATGTTTTGTTGTGACAATGCTGGCGGTCAGTAACTCACCTGCTGACTGCTGCTGATGTCCAGGGTCTTCTGCAGCTCTCGGATGTCTCTCGTCACCTCCTTCAGCAACAGCTTGAGACGGTTCCCCATCACATGCACCTTCTCTTTGGCTTCCAGACAGTCACTGCCCTCCGAGTGGACCAGCAGCTGAAGGGACATGTCCTGCAGGGACGCCACCTTCAGCTGCGTGTCCAGCAGCTCCCGGCGGATTTGCTGCAGAACAATCAGTGTTGAATCAAAACAAGCCGTGCAAGCTATACCAACAGAAAAGAGAAATCATTTACCAGAAGCGTTTTGTGATGCTCCTGTAGGGTATCGCTGTCCTGAGTGTGGTCAATCGGGACGATCTCATTCCTCCTGCGATCGATGTTCTCCAGCCACAGAAGCAGACCATGACTCATCTCATGGAAGTCCTGAAGATTAGGAAAAGGTCTGTGATTTGAACCCCTCAACATTGACGAAAGCAGAATTTCTGAATGAGTATCTTCTGATAACAGCTTCTTGCCTGGCACTGTAAGAGCGCGTGCTGGAGCGCGTTCCTCCACTCGTCCAGAGAGCTGCTGAGACGCTCCCAGCGGTTATTCATCTCCTTCAGCTGTCGCTGCAGGTCTCGCGCCTCCTCGCTGTCCGACTGCACAAACTCGGCGCTGCAGAGGTTAATGGACAACGCGATGGCCTTGCGCTTATCCAGAGCCTTCTGCAGCTCCTGCGCGGAGTCCCAGGTCAACAGAGAAAAGCATCAATGCCACAATACAATAAACAAGCTGGACAACCAACAAAGAAACGACAACAGTGGTTCAAAGAATATCATGGCATTAGTGTTATTTTAGTATTATTACTATTACAATACTTCTTAAAACTTTGAATTACCTTTTATTTTTAATTTTATAATTTAGTTTTGTTTGTTTTACTTGGACAACCAACAAACAATAAAACAAAGAAAACGCTGTAACAGTGGTTCAAAGAATACCATGGCATTAGTATTATTTTAGTATTTTTGATATACTTTTACAGTAATTATTAATATTTTTTAATAGGTTTCATTTTTATATTTTTAGTTTTCATTTTAATTTTAGTTTAGGTTTATAATCTGTTTTCCTCATTATTATTATTTTTTTTGTATTTCTATACAGCTTTAATTTATTTTTAGTGCAGTTTTAGTAATCTAGTAAGGCAACATTTCTAATTAAGTTTTTTAAATTTAGGATTTCAAGTTTAAGATTTTAAGTTTAGGATGTTCAGTATTAAGGATTTTCAATATTTATATTTTATTTCAATTACTGAAAATTATTTTTAATAGTTTTAGTTAGTTTCATTTAAGTTTCTTAAGTTTATGATGGATAACCAACAAACAAGAAGATTTTAGTTTAAGTTTTAGCAATTTTGTTATGTGTTTCTGTCATTTTTATATATAATTATGTCTAATTTAATACTGCTATATAGCAGGGGTGTCAAGCTCAGGCCCTGTCCACACGAACGCCGTTATTTTTTAAAACCGCAGCTTTTTCTACGTGGTTAGGCCATTCGTCCACACGCAAACACAGCACCAGGTCACTGAAACCAAACATTTTTGAAAACGCCTGCCAGGGTGAAGATTTTCGAAAACTCCAGTTGCAGTTTTTGGCTTGTGACGTCGGAGCCTGCACTGTTATCTCCGCCTACTGGAAACTTTTTCAGGCTTCTGATTGGCCAACATGGCTTTACAGTTGAGATTATATCGCCACCTGTTGGTTTGGCATGCTCTTGACAGTGCTTCATAGCATGAGTTTGCATTTTCATGTGGACGGAGATTTTTTTTAAAACGGAAGAAGGAAAAACTTTTATATAACGTTTATAAAAATACCCGTATACGTGTGGACATGGCCTCAGTTCCTGGAGGGCCACAGCCCTGCAGAGTTTAGCTCCAACCCTAATTAAACACACCTGATCCAGCTAATCAGGTCCTTCAGGCTTATTTGAAAACTACATGGGTATGTGTGTTGGAGCAGGGTTGGAACTAAACTCTGCAGGGCTGCGGCCCTCCAGGAACTGAGTTTGACACCCCTGCTATATAGCTTCAATGTGTCAGTTTTGAGTCATTTTAGCACTTAGTAACAAATAGTTTTAGTTATGATTAACAGCGCTGGAGTGTCTGACCTTGAGTTTTTGAAATATTAGATGAAAAACTTTTAAAATAAGAAATGTTGCTTTGACAACTGACTGAAATAAAATGTTGAAAGTATTAAAATTATAACAAAAAAAAATGTCAAGCTAAATAAAAACGAATAAAATGACAAAAACATAACAAAATGACTACAACTTAAATTACTAAAAGAAACACTGGAAATAAAAAGTAAAAGCTAAATCAGAATATTAATAAATACTATAATAGTATACATAATAATAAAATAACAGATTTAAACAAAAATCCAGCATTCTGAATATAATTACAAAAAATATTCAGATGTTTAACAGCAATGAGAATTTCAGGCGGGAAATTGCTTTATAATTTAAAAATGTAAAAACATTTGAATTGGTCCAAAAAAATAGGCTTCATTTTCTTTATGTAAAAATATTTTTCTGTGATTTCAGATTCAAATTTGACCTTGATATGTAAAATCCTTCTTTTGGACCTGTGTGACCATTAAAAAAATCCACATGGGCCCATACTACTAATATTTGATTTTAAACCACTTGATTTAAAAGGATTTTATTTTTTTGTAATTCACAATTTTCTCTGATTGCAAAATACTGTGAGTAATGCTGTTGATTTGGCAAATCCATAAGCATTAGAAACCAAGAACAAACACCAGAGTGAAGTCAGTGGGCATCAACCTGTGACACTACATGCAAACACTGGAGAACTGATTATTATAGTTAACACACTGTGTGAAGCAACACAAATCAAAAGAGAAGGGTTAGGAAATACAGCCGATGGTCGCAGCACGCGGCTCTGTGCTTTGATTCGGTTTGTGAGTAGAAACTAAAGATCACAATCTCAGGCAACAGACTAGTGAGTGAGTCTCAGATTTCGGACTGCTGTTGCCTACCAGCGCTGGACCTCAGAGTTTGCTCAGTAAGTTTTAGATATGCCTCAGGACTCTCTGGAATCACTACATCTGAAAGAAACATATACATGCATACAATACAAACATGATTGAATGCTGAACCCCACTAAAATCATATGCTACAGCCACCAGTTTATTCTCTCTCTTCTGTTTATAGGACGAAAGATCTCACACTGACCTGAGAGGGCGGACGCTGAGCCCTGCAGGTATCCATCCTCTCCCTGATCTCCCGGTTCAGAGGACAAGGCTCTGCTGGCGCTCTCCAGACCCCGGCTCAGGTCGTAATCGTGGTCCCACTCCAGAAGGATGGAGTCCACGCTGGCTGGAGTGTCTCGGCCCGAGCGTTCGGCCCGTAGAGGAGCGGCCAGCGACGCAGAGCGACTGGACGAGCGCAGAGGGGACAGAAAACCATCGCCCAGACGCTCACTCCACGGAAAGCTGGACACGTCAGCGGGCTCGTCCAGATCAAACTCACGGTCCGAGTACGAGACGTCATGTTCATCGTCTGTGAGCTGGATAAAGAAGAAGAATTCACAGTGGTTTTTGGGATCCAAACCTTGACTAAATTGATTAAAGAGGATGAAATAAAATGTCAAAAAATGCTAAACAAAATGACTGAACGAACTGATAAATAAAAAGTAAACAAAAAAAGCATATAAATTAAAATGGTATATTTAAATATGAAAATAAAATAAAATAGAATGAACAAATGAATGAATGAATGAATAAGGTAAACAAATAAAAGGTAAATATAAATAAATATGAAAATAAATATGAAAAAATCTAATAAATAAATGAATAAATATATAAAGATATAAATAATAGTAGTAGGGCTGGGCGATATGGCCAAAAAAATGATCACGATAATTTTTTTGCATATCAGTCGATATCAATAATTATCACGATAAATATCAATCTTTTTTTTTTTTTTTTAAGTTTAAAGCCATATTTTTGCTCCAAAGTGAAAGTTGTAGAAACCAGACTTTTAATTTTCCTTAACAAAATATATATCTTAATAGACAAATTTATTTCTTAGTTTCTGCATGTTTTGCATGTGATATTGTTTCAAATCATAATATTTATTAATAATATTTTTTGTCTCTTAGAAATGCACATATGACAGTAGTAGTAGCTTGAGTTAAGATGCAGATGTACATTTTTGTTCATTATCAAAATCAATTATAGTAGTCATAAATAAAAAGGTAAATGTAAATAAAAATGGTACATATAAATATTAAAATAAATAAATATAAATGCATATTAAAATAAAATAAAATTAATGAATGAATTAATAAATTTAAAAATATATAAACATACACAAATGTAAATATAAATAAAAAGATAAACAAATGTGAAAAAATAAAATAAATGAATGAGTAAATAATTAATAAATATATAAAGGAAGTCATAAACAAAAAGGTAAATATAAATGAAAATGGTACATATAAATATGAAAATAAATATAAACAAAAAACAAACAAATGTATAAATAAATAAATAGGTATGTAGGTACATATAAATAAATATGAAAATGAAACAAATTGAAAAAGAATGGAAGAGAACGCCAATATCAGTCAGAAAAAGCATCTGCTGTATTGAAAGTACCGGTAATCGTATAAGTTTCTTGTAGTAGCGCTCCACACGTCCAAACACTTCCTGGCAGTAACGCTGCAGTTCTTCAAGCTCTTCCTCCATCACAGCAGCATCTATCGGCTCACTCTTTTCCAGAAGAGCTTCACCCTGCTGGAATATGTGGTCAATCTTTGCTGTGTTCAGAGTGATCTCCTGCTGGAACGCCTGGACGCAGAAGAGAACCTTCATCAGAGAATTACACAGGAGATATGGAGAACACATGCAGTAATAAAGGCCAGAGACGTACCCTCAGCTGTTTGATTTTGGCCTGGACGTCACACTCGGAGAAATGCTCAATGTTGGTTAACTGCAGGTCCATCTCTGTCAGCCAGACCAGGATACAGTCTCGTGCCGTCTCAAACTCCTCCCGCTGACATATAAAGTGCTGCGGTGGACATAACAAATGCTTCAAAAATCAGATTCACTTGCATTTAATAAAATCATTAATATCATTATATAATAATATATATTTATTTGTTTTGCAACAGCTGATTTACCCAAATGGACTAAAAGGTTAATTTACAAAAATATAACTTTGGATTATATTATTTCATTGATTATATATTGATTTATTGAAGAATGTACATAATATATATATATAATACTTTTATGATTCATTATATTATGTGTATATTTAATAATTATTATTATTATTTTTATTGTTAGTACAATATTTAAAAGTTATATTAAACTATTTATTTAAAATAAATACAAAATTTAAAAGTTAAACTATATTTCCAAGAAATGGTTATAATTAGTGCGGGACATTGTTATGCATTTGATAAATTATCTTTGAATTAACTTCTGACAGAAAGATTAACTTCTGATTAAACAAAGGCAGAAAGTTCTTTCACAGATTTGTGTTATTATAATATGTATCAAAGTGATGACTGTCTAAGCATCAACTGAGTATAAATGGTGGTGTAAAAGGAATCCATCAGCTCTGTACCTTTAGCCTGCGTAGGACGGATGACACTCGTCTCTGCAGGTTCTCCCAGCGCTGGTTGGTGTTGTGGGCCATTTCTCTCAGATTACAGGCCGCGTCGGTGCGATTCTCACGTGCCAGTCGCTGATAATGTTTATTGATCAGCTCCAGCTGCGTCAAACTTTCATGCACCTGCCGCTGGAACGTCTACAGAGACACAGAGCGTTAATATCATAAATCTGTTCAACAATACTACATTCATTCAGTCTGGATGATCTCACCTCAAATTTCTTGAGCTCCTCTTTGGCAACAGTGTAAAGGACACCTGAAGAGTTTGGCAGCGCGGCTGTCTTCTCCGACAACATGAGCCACTCCTCAAAATGAGAGTAGTCATCCAGAAACTTCTGCCAGAGACGCCACGTCTCCTCAATCCTTTCACATGAGCAAAATTTAGGTTTACATTTGTCATTTAGCACAATTATTGTATAAAACTATTAAAAAATAAATAATTTTCATTAATTGAAATAAAGCTGCAATAAAGCTGAAATAGATTAACATTAAAAAAATATAAAATGTTGAGCAAAATTTGTTTAAATTTGTCATTTAGCACAATTTTTGTATTAAACGATTAAAAATAAACTATGAAAATAAAATACAAAATATAAAATAATAAACAAAATTTAGGTTTAAATTTGTCATGACCACATGAACAACACAAAGGTGTATTAGGCATTGTTATCATTAACTTTAAGTATAAATAAAACTATTAAAAATCATTTTCATTAACTGAAATAAGGCTGCAATAAAGCTGAAATAGATAAAATAACAAAAATATAATATAATATAAAACAGGACAAACCAAAATTAGAAATGTTGCTTTGGGAACTAACTGAAATAAAACAAATTTAAGTCGAAGTGCTAAAATTAGTAAAACTAAAACGGAAATAAAAATAAATCAAAGCTAAATATAAATAAAAATATAAAAATAAAAGGTATGCGGTGCGGTTCACAGGTCATACCTGAGTCTCCTCTCCATGGACATGGCACAGATGCTCCTCCAGCGGCGGTCCAGGCTGCGTGTGGCCTGCTGGATGGAGTCACACTCGGCGTCTGTAGCACACGCGTCACAGTCGTGCAGCAACACCTCACACAGGTTCAGCACAGACGCCACACCTGTGCTGTGCTTCTCGATGTCTCTCTGCAGCTCCTGAACCAAGGACACAATAATGTTTTATCTGAACCAAACAAACAAAATGCTTTTTGAATTCACTGTGTGTGTGTGTGTGTGTGTGTGTTTGTACCTGCTGTAGATCCAGTTTCCTCTGGATCTCCTGGTAGTCGCAGGTGTCGTACACGATGGGACGGGACAGTTCAGTCTCGATGTGGCCGAGCCAAGAGCGCAGACTATTCATGTTCTTATCCAACTGCTGAACGGCCACTAAAGTCTCCCGCAGCTTCTTCACCCTGAATAAACAACACAGATATTATCAGCCTTTTCACTATTTCTGACACAATGTACTGTGTCTACATCTATACTATATTATATCAGGGTTATTATAGTTAACTAAAACTAAAAACATAAAAAACACTTTCATTACTTGAACTAAAGAAAACATGATCTAAAATAAAATATAAACATTTTATTTTAAATTCTAAGCTTATTTGATCTAAACTAGTTGCCAAGGCAGCATTTCTCACTTCCATTTAGCAATTTGATGTACTAAAATTACACCTAAAACTGAAACTAAAAATTCACAGACATGACAAGAAATATTTATTAAAAATGAATAAAAATGACAAAATCACAAAATTCCAAAAAATGACAAAATTTAATTATTAAAACAAACTAAATTAAAAAGGAAATGCAATCGAAACACAATGCAGATTCAAACCTCAATCATTTTTAAAATGAATTCTGAGGACAAATTGTGTGAAATAGTGCTGATAATGCCAACCACATCGCGGTGTGTGTTACAGTACCTGGCCCCAATGAGGTCGAGCAGATGCTGCCAGCGTTCGTTGACTTTACCGAGTTTGTGTTCAATGTCAGAGGCTTTGCTCTCATGACTGGCCCGAGCTAAACGTTCACCCAGCTGCTGGAGCTCGTGTTTATTCTCCTGAACCACCGCCACCTCCTCCTGATAGTCCTGAGGGACAATGGAAAAAACATTCCCATTATGTTTAACATTCTATATATATATATATAACACAAAAGAAATGTGACATTTAATCGCTACCTTTCGTAATTTCTCAATCATCTCTTCGATGCTGATGTCTCCATTCTGGGATACTTTGCTTTCCATTTGCGTCAGCCATTCACACAGCTCCTTATATTTATCATTGAAGATGGCCCATTCATTCAGCTTCTCACTCGCCTGCTGCCTTCGCAGACACAACTGCACAGACAAATACACGAAAACATTTGCCTTCAGTAATTTCAAAATATGGTTGAGCATTTAAACCAAATCTAAGTAGATTCAATTGAATATTTAGCCACAACATCTCTCTGTATCTCTATAATGTGCAAAATTAAAGTGTAAATAAACACAGTTACACATTCCCAAAACCATATTGAAGGAAAGGCAAAAGCCTTACCAGAGCATCAGTAAAAATACAGCATGAGTGAAGAGTTTAACAGTTAAATGTCTCTACTGAGATATCAAACGTACGCTCACATCCTGTGGTGTCTCAGCTCACGCACCGGATGCCACAAACACAGAAGGTGCATAAAACTCTTCATGCTTCGCATTCAAGTTTCACTTTGAGTGCTTTGCATTGCTCTCTACTAGCAAAAACATTAGGGCTGTCAAAATGACTGAAAAACTAAATTCGAATTTTCGCAACGCTGATAGATGCCCCGCTAGAAAATGTGATAAATATGCGTTTTGTGTGAATGGCTTGGTTTCAGTTTCACCGTAAACAACATATTCTCCACACTGATGCTCTCGTTTTCCGCTATATATTGAATGAACAACGTAGCAGCGCCGCATCTAGTGGGTTCAACTGGACAGGCTAACAAAAGCATTCAAATGCAATGACACTTACATTGTCATCGCATCTCGTGCGCCACTGATAAGGCTGCCTGACGGCTGACGCAGACCTAAAATTCGAATGCAACGTTTTTGCATTCGAATGTGGATTTATTTTATTTTATTCGACGAATATTCGAAATTCGAATTTTTTTTTGACAGCCCTAAAAAAACATATGATAATATGTTCTGCAAAACAAACTCTGATGCAGTGATGTTTGAAAACAGCGATTTAAAAAATGTGTTATAAAATCTAATGAGCTTCCTATGGAGCCCAGAGAGCATTAGTTTGAATGTGCCTATGATGTCTAGGAAGGTTTTGAAAGCAACAATGCAGGCATATGTAGTGAAACAGCGCCACCGAACGGCCAGATATTTCTGAGTGTACCTGGTGACAGATCTCCTCCCACTGGCGGTGCAGGAGTTCAATGCGTTCCTGCAGCACACGCAGATCCTCAGGACTGATGTAACTGGACAGAGACTCTCTCAACACCGTCAGATGGGTCAAATCCTCCTTCCAGCCGTCAAACATGCTCTCCAGATCCTGCAGGATGTGGGCGTTTATTATTTCTCATCATTTCACTGTTATTCAGTTTCCCTCACAGAATCTGAACTCTGCATACCTTGCAGCGCATTTGTTCAGACTGCAGCTCCTCATTGCGATCTGGAAGCGGCTGGGACAGCTGGCGTTTAAAAGCTCTTAGTTTCTCTAGAGATCCTCCGATACCTTTTTCACATCTCTCCCAATCCTACACACAGTTTTGAAATAAGTCAAAGTGGTTTCTGGGTACATAAAAGATATTCTGAACAATTACAGTATCATGCATTGCTCTATCATCTGAAAACAAGCTTTAAACTCATTAGGGTAGGGATGTAGACAAACTCATGCAGACATTTGTTTGAGAGCAAAATAACTACTGGAACCACTAGAAAGAAATATTTGACAGAATTAGGGTGACAGTAAAAGTACAATAAAATTTAGAATAGACTAAAACACCCTATTTTAGAATTTTTTATTTAACTAGTGAAATCTCTCTCTCTCTCTTCTCTCTCTCTCTCTCTCTCTATATATATATTAATTTTCTATTTTCATCTGAATTTCAGTTACATTTTTAGTAATTATGTTATGCTTATGCCATTTTTATTAGTTTTTAAATATGTCTGAATATTTTTTTTATTAATTTTTACTTTACGTTTAAACTAAAAAAGGCTAAATGAAAACAAGAAATATTGCTTTGGCAACTAGCTTAAACAAAAAAATCTAACTCTAATCTAAAATATAAATCTAATTTTTAAATTTTATTTCAGGTAACAAACGTTTTTTTGTTTTCAGTTTTAGTTGACTATAATAATAGTGGTATTAGTATTTTAACTTTTATTTTAATATTATTATTGTTATTATTAACGAATATTTATTAACATTTTTATTTTTTATATTATTTATGATATTTATATTTATATCATTACTATAATTATTTAACTTTTATATTTAGCAACTAAATATATTTAAACAAACATTTACACAAAAAATTAAGTGCAAGAACTTCTAGGAACACTATAGTGTAATATTCAGGGTTTCATATCGTTTGTCTAATAAATTATGACCAAAAATAATAATTATTTCTAGTGCTGTCAAACGATTAATCGCGATTAATCGCATCCAAAATAAAAGTTTTTGTTTACATAATATATGTATGTGTGCTGTGTATATTTATTATATATATATATATATATATATATATACGCTTTCATCAATTTCCAGACTTGAAAATTACAATTAAAAATATTTCCTGATATTTAAAATTTTTTCTTGTGGGATGGATGACTCAGTTTTAAGAATATTCTGAAAGAAAAGAATCACTAAACCTATCCAGACACGTAGCAATAAAGTCCGCAAATGAAGAAAACAGGTGGCGCTGTGACACAAAGATCTGTACCCTGAGCAGAATGGCCAGCTCTTTCTTTTGCTCCTCCAGGTGGATGTTGGCGTGTTTCCAGCGCTCCTGTATGTCGAGCAGCTCCTCTTGTAGAGCCGCTTCGGCCCGTGTGTCAGCAGACAGAAGCAGCTGTCTCCCTGCCTCCACCGTCAGGATGTAACTGCCCTGCTGCCTCAGCAGAACCTTCTCCCTCAGCTGCAGGATCAACAGAGCGTCAGCAGGGGGCGCTAACAGCCAGCACAAAAGCATATTAGGTCAAACAATACTTACCTGAACTGCATCCAGCATGGCTCGTGCCTGTTGGAGTGGCACAGGTGTGCCCGCCTGCAGGGTTTCGGCCTGATGGGACGCTTCCACCAACCACTTCCTCAGCTTCTCCACCATCTCCCTGTAGCGCTGCCACTGCCGCAGGAGACTGTCTATGATGCCCCTGCGCTGCTGTGCCCGTCTCACCACCCCCTGCCACTGGTTACTCAGCAGAGCCAGCTTCAGCTTGAACTCATCTCTGGAGACACGGTCAGTTTCGATATGAGCATTCAGTCTGTTCAGGTATTTTGAATGCTAGGATCTTGCATATGCATATATCTGATGCTGATGATGATGTTGCTCACCTGTCGTCCACCTGTCCCTGCTCCAGCATGCGTTGTCCATCGCTGACGATAGAGTGAAGGATCTGCTGTCTGCTGAACATCTCTGCCTGAAACAGCTGTAACATTGCTCATTTATTAGTATCTAGGCTAGGTTTGCAACTCCTAATTTGCTTTTGTATGCCTCACCTCATGAGCTCTCTGCTGCTCCATCAGGCTCTGGAAGTTTCCGGAAATCTCCACGGCCAGTTTCTCCTCCGTCTGCACCAGGAACTCCATCCATGTCTCGCACTTCTCCAGAAAGGTCTGCTGCTGTAGTAGCAGGGCCTGAAGTTTGCTGAGAAGAGAATTTAGACATCCTTTAGAAGGTAAACAGACACTCAAACAATATCTACTGTAGTACTATGTATTTCCATGAAGGTCTTTACAAAGCCCAAAAAGAGCCATGCAGGGTATTTAAGAAAGTTATAAGAAGGAAGTATTCAATAATGATATAACCTCTCTTTATAATGAGCTGGAGCAAACCTGAATCTCTCAGTGGTCTGAGCTGAGGTGGTGGAGCAGCTTCTGTTGAGGTTCTGCATGCGTTTGATCTCAGAGTCGTTGAGAGGGAGTCTGTAACCCAGTTCATTCAGCCTCTCCAGATCAGGAGCCATACTGCTGAACTTCAGCATTTGTTTCTGCACAAAAAAATTAAAAATAAAATAAACAAAAACATTGGTGGTCAATTAATATATTGGTCAGGTCATTTTAAGTGATTGCACATTTTCGGTTTTCAGATTTTGTGTTATAATGATAAAAACAAAAAAAAGTGAATCAAATGAAAACTGCTTAAATTTTTTTCTTACATAATTTATGTATATGTACAGCAATTTTGTACAAAAATAATTGAGTATTTAAGCAAAAAAACATTTTTAAACTATTGTTAAACTATTTTTAACAAATAGAAACATAAATTCAATCAGCTGTGTCCAATATTTTGACTTCCAGTGTACATATCGACCACCCTGATCCTGGGTTATTTTGGTATTATTTATATACTACTATAGTATTTTGAATTAGCTTTTATTTTTCAGATTTTAATTGTGGTTTAATTTTGTTACGTGAGTTAATTTTTAAATACATTTTTTTAATTTCAGTTTTAGTTTTAGTAATTTTAATATTTTTATTTTAGCTTTATTTTAAGGTTATTTTGGTATTATTTATATACTACTGTAGTATTTATTAATATTTTGAATTAGCTTTTATATTTAGATTTTCAGATTACAATTTTATTTTATTTTATGTGCTTTAATGATTTTAATTCATTTTTAATTCATTTTTTATTTCAGTTTTAGTAATTTAATATTTCAGCTCAAACTTATTTTATTTCAGCTGGTTGCCAAGGTAACATTTCTAATCTTTTATTTGTAATTTTTCATCTTATCTATTTAGGTTTTATTTTATTTCAATTCAATTTCAATTCAATTCAATTCAACAAAATGAATTCGTTTTAGAAAACAATAACAACACTGATCTGATCTTTGCATATTTCAGGCATCCCAGCATAATTGATCTATTCATTCTTGTATACCTTGAGTTCCTCCATGCGGTCCTGGATCAGTGACTGGTCAGAGGAACCGTTGGGATCCTGAGCTTTCAGAACCTCCTCAGCTTCCACGATCCAGCGGGACAGAGAATCCAACTGCTCGTTAAACGTCTCATAGTCGCGAACTCCAGCCTGAGGAGAAAAACAACCCTCAGTGTCAAACACTAAAACACTCTCACAAGCCACTTCAATGCTCTTCTTCACTCACCTGCAGCGCCACCTGCTGTCGGCTCAGGCTCTGCTCTACAGCACTGAGGCGCTGGGTGAGAGACAGGTGGTCAGACTGGATGGAGGCAGCAGCTGATGTGTCCACCTGCTGTTTGAGCTGCTCTCCCAGCTCCAGTAAAACCTGCAGAGACGCCTGGACGGGAGCCTGAGAGCGCAGCAGCCCCTGAGGGAACATGGGATGAGAGTAAATTACTGTACTGATTACACTAAGTACTGATTATGAAATAAAAAACATTGACATAAGTAGTTGCTGTTCAGAATTTAGTGAACACTTAGGATCCACAAACACTATTCACAAACCATTTCTGTATTCTACAGGGTTTACAATAGTAGAGTTAGAGCTCTAAATCATAAATAATGTCCAGATATTCTTAATGCTTCATAAACGTATCTATAATGCCATATACTACACATAAAAATTACTTTTTTGTAATTATTTTTGTAACAACTATAACCACAGCTGTAATGCATAATACCCAACTTACTCATGATAACCATTCTTAAATGTATAATGCATGATATGATTTATTTTTTATAGCATTGATCATGTGTTTCAATGCATTATAATACTTAATACTTAGTATTATGTAGAGGTAAAATATTAAAATGTAGTATAAGTTATGAGAGCATACAACTCACTCATTAAACTCATTAAAAATAATAATTATAAAAATTACTTGGATTGAGATGAACATGATTCTACATTCTCAATAAGGGTGAATATGAAATACAAAAATGTACAGAAACCGTTGCTGTTTAGAATTTATGATTAGTGCATTAGTAGAATACACAAACATTTATGAGAGTATATCACACAATTGATTTTAAGGCATTACATCTAAAAAAAAATAAAAAATAAGAAATTGATTAAAATTAATTAAAAAATAATTATAAATGATTTTAAAAACAATTGGATGTGGGTATTAATGATACTCCTGACTAACCAGAGAATATATCAGATAAAAGATGTAACTGATCACTTGTAAGATATGCAAATATTGTCAAGTTCACTTAAAAAAATAAAGTTTTGTTGCAACAGTACACAATAACAATAATTGTTAAGAAAGTGAACAATGAACATGTAAACAATCTGTAACACAATACAATGAGGTCTCATTAGCATTAATTCACAAACTAAAAAACAACGTTTTTGCAGCATTTATTAACATTTGTTAAAGATAATGTTCATGTTAGTGCATTAACTAATGTTAATGTTAACAGATACAACTTTTGAAAGTGTTACCAAATAATCATAATCAATATTACACTCACAGCACAGTCTTGAATCCAGGTGGACACGTCCTCCTCTGTGATGTCTTTGTGGCTGGCGGTCTTCAGCATCTGGTTTGCTCTCTCCTCTAGTGTCTGGATGCTGGAGTCGCTCTGTCCATAAAGATCTTTATAGCTCTGCCACAGCTGCAGGAGAGCCTTACTGCTCTTCAGACGCTCCACGATCTCCTCCTGCAGACTGTTCCACCTGAAGACCACAAAACACACACTTCTATTACATCAACCTCACTCACAAAGCCAAAATGACTTTGCATTTGCAAACTAAAATGCTTGCAGTTTGGATTACAGACATGCATTTTTTAGTTGATATGTGTGTCTTAGACTCAAGTTAGGACTATAATTATAAACAAATAAACATTTACAAAAAAAGTACTTTGAGTATTATTGTACAAAAATATATATACATAAAAAAATGAAAAATGGACCTGGCGTTAATGTCTTTTAGTGTGTTATTGAGTGTGTCAGACACAGACGGGTGACACTCCTCCAGAAGCTGATGTGTAACTGATCCAAACTTCCTCAGACTGCTCTCTTGTTTCTCAAGCTCCTCCTGCAGGTTCTACAGATGTCCGAGGAAACAATATGAGACCATATGAAAGCCATGATTTGCAAATGAACTGGAACTTGCTTTACCTGTAGACTCTCCACCTGTAGCCGCGAAGCCTCCAGAGATCCTGTGAGCAGACGGTAGCGGGACACAGAGTAGCGTCCCTCCGTCAGGTAGCCGTTGATCTCTTCAGATGCTTGTTTGTATTGACTCCACTTGTCCTGGACAGACTTCAGACTGATCTTCAGCTGTCCGATCTGAGACACAGCAATCCAAATACAATTTACATGCAGAAACCCACATATAAACACTATAACGTTTAAAGAGACTTATAGAATCACATTAAAACAGTAAATACCAGGTGGTCCAGATTGGCCCATGTGTTATTCAAGGCTTGTAGAGACTCCATGACAACAGCACAGGCCTCGTCGGTCTTATTTTGGACGAGAGCACAAGCCTGTTCTTCCACTCTCTCCAGCTCCCTCTCCTTCTCCTTCATCATCTCCTCCATCTCCTGAAGTTACATGTCAGAAAAAGAGAGAAAATCTGTATTCCAGTCACGGAGGTCATGTTGAATAAAATAAGACTGCGTGTTCGGTCAATGGGTCAAACCTGGCAGTCTTTAAGTGCGTTCTGCACAGAGGATAAGTTCTCAATCCTGTGCTTCGTCTTGAGTCTGTCCTCCTGAGCGTTCAGCCATGCCTGAAGAGTCTGAACTTTACCCTCATATTCAACCCAGGATTCCAACAAGCATTCCAGATACTGTACCTGAAACAAAAATTTACATTTAACAACACATTTATGCAATTATATGATACAATTTAATTGAGCAATTATGTACCAAATAGTAACACTATTTATTATAAATCTTTATGTAATCACAATTTAGTATGCAAATATTACAATGACATCATCGCTGGCACACACTAAAAATAAATAAATAAATAAAACACTATTACAGTGGTTCTCAACCAGAGGGCCTCTCATAAACCTTCCAAGGGGCCATAGGATGACTAAAATGCTAAATTAATAATTACTAAAAATGCTTAAAAAAACAAGATAAACTGAAATCGTATTTATTTTTTATATTGTATTATATTTTTATAATATAATATAATATAATATAGATTTTATTGTAGAACATGCTGTTTTTGAAACTTCTGGAAACAAAAAATAAATTGTGGATAATAATATTTTTTTAAATATTAAATTTTTTAATATCCAAATATCTATTTTTTATATAAATTGTATGTGTACGTGTTATATATATATAAATTTACAAAAAAATTACCTATATAAACCCCCCCCACACTTTTCATTTTAATCTTTAAAATTTCCTAAAAGTATATAACATGTAAAAAAAGAAATATGTATAGAACAGCTCAGAATGAAATTATCTACCAAAAGTCTGAATAGAGTTTGAAAACTGTATATAGTATGTATGAGCTGCATCTGGGGCCTCATTTATAAAATGTTGCGCAGTTTGAAATATGTGTACACATAGAAAACCCACATACGCCTCTCTTTCAGATGTGAAATTATGAATCGCAAATGATCTTGAACTTGCGCGCAACTGAATAGTTTCAGCTCTCTGCCTTGTAAACGACTCCTAATTCATGTCATTAACATATAAAAGATCACCAGTCATCGTCCAAATCCTTTCATTTAGAACAGCGAGCTGCAAGAACAGCTTACATTTCCAAAAACCTGCAGTACTCCGACGAGAAAAAGTGCGTACGTCTGCTCAGACCCTGATGTGACACTTGTCACTTTTCCACGTCAATGGCAGTTTTGACAAATATGGGCGTTGGCGTGGATTTAAGCGTACGCACACTTTATAAATGAGGCCCCTGAAGTCTCACCCTCTCAGTGATACGTGTCTGCAGTATCTGCCAGCGGCAGTTCATGGCGCCCAGTTTCTCCGCAAAATCTGTTTTATCGCTGCGTTTGCTCTCCACATCCGCACCACTGATCTGGAGCACTGACTGATTCACAAAGTCCACAGTCAGCTGTTTGCAGTTCACATCCACTCTGAAGCCCTACAGAAAGTAAAAGACAACAGCATGGAGAAAACAGTTAGCAAAACACATAAAAATTCATAATTACTCCTGTGTAGCTAGACTTCTGATGATCGCCATAAAATCCAGTCCAACCAATAAATTAATTTGGAAAAATATTACTCACTTAAATACAATAGACCTTTTGTAGACTCTAACAGGGGTAAAACAGTAAATGCTGTCACCTTGTATCGCTGCAGGTACTCCTGGATGACCTTTGACCCAACAGCCCCTTTGAGATTCTCCTCATCCTCTTCTATGACTCTCTCCATCAATGACATCCAGTTCACAAGCTCAGCGATAGCGTGACGGGATGCCAGCTTATCCATCTGAGACTAAAACAACAAACAATATATCTTTAAAAAACAATAGACTAAGAAAGATCTGACCAATGAACCCCAGAAGTGAAACTAATCCTATGTATCAGAGCAGATAAGCCTGTTTAGTGAGCAGTCAGTACCTGGTGGAGTTTTTCTTGAACTACGGGAATGCGGGCAAGCAGTTCTGACCACTGAGAGTCCAGACGGGCGAGTTCAGACCGCAGAGACGCGGTGTCCATCTTCTTGAGTCTGAGCAGCTGGTTTCCCTCACTCAGCACCGAGGCCTTCAGACTGGAGCGGCTCTCCACCTCCTTACTGAACTCCTGTAGAGAAGAAAAGACGACACATGAAACGACCAGTATCTTGTGGTTTCTGGAATTACTTCCTTATAGGCATGCAAAGATATAAATAATTATTTAATAATGAATAATTATTAATTAAAGCTTCTTTTGAAACTATTTTCATTGGCAAAAACATCTAACTGTGAAAACGAATGATTATATTATAAAAATACACAAAATAATGTTCTTTTTAGCAGCATCATATGACCCCTTTAATAAAAAATTAAATAAAGCACAATAAAAACATAAAAATTAATTAATTAATAAATGAAATAAATATGGTCTGAGACACTGGGATAAAAAAATAAAAACAAAACAAATTAAAAAATAAAATAAAATAAAATTAATACATTAATAAATAAATTTAAAATAAAATAAAATAAAATAATTCGGTTCACTAGCAAAGCTTGAACCAGTGTGGTTTTCCAGTGAAACCGGTTGGCAAAATGCACCAACATCCTAAACACACCCCATGCTTGTGATTTCTTAACAATGAACCAGTCTAACTAACCAGAAAAGCTGTTAACTGGTCTTTAACAGTCTCCAGTTCCTGAGGACCAGCAACAAACTGTGTGTTCCAGAACTCCAAGCGTTCCAGAGCTTCCTGTAGCCAGCGACTCAGTTCACCAGACTCACGCTTATACCTGTGACAATCAAGCACATCTCATCATGAAGATTATGAAATAAAATGAATAAAACAATGCATCACTCTAAAAAAAAGAATTTAGCTCCTGACCTGGTTGAGTGCTTCAGGATGGATTCCAGGTTCTGTAGCTCTCTGTTGATCTTGGTGGAGTTGTTGAGCCAGTGCTCACCCAAAAGTGTGAGCTGGTTCTCCAGGCTGGAGCAGCTCACATATGACAGAAGATGCTTCCCTTCCTCTAGCACCTGATGCAGTTTGTGTTGGTGCTCCGTCAGACTGGCTTTAAGTGCCTAAGGTGATTATAATAGAAGGTCAAGTCGATCAGATACAGTCAGTCTGGTATGATTAGATTATCTATCCTAATACACCGATCATACCCATGTTGGCAAGTTACTCTAGACTACGTTACAACTAATCCTAACATTCATGATTTCATTACATACCTGATAGAGCTCTATTCTTTCCTTCAGTCTCTCCTCCGTCTCCTCCACCAGGCCAGCGGTCGGCAGACTGCCCTCCACAGCCTCTAGCAATCGGTACAGGGTCTGATAGTCCGAAACTAGACGACCCCACGTCTGATAAAGTCAGAGAAACATACAAATACATAATGAGTGTGAAAGAAACAGCTTCATACTTTTATGGGGTCGGTATATCTAAATATGTTGTAAAATGTAATTTATTTCTGTAATGCAAAGCTGAATTTTCAGCATCATTACTCCAGTCTTCAGTTTCACATGATCCATTAGAATTCATTCTGCTATGCTGATTTGCTATTCAAGAAACATTTATTATTATTATCAATGTTTTTATCAATATTTTTTGTGGAAACCATGATGCATTTTTTCTAGGACTTTTTGATGAACTGAAAGTTCAAATGAGCAGTATATATTTGAGATAAAAATCTTTTAACAATACGAATGTCTTTACTGTCTCTTTTTTCGTCTTTTGAAAATCAGAAAAATGGTTACCTCTGAGATGCACTCCAGCTCAACTCCTTTCTTGTGCGCTTGCTTAAGCACATCCTGAGCCCGAGCTAGTGTCTCCTCCAGAGTCTGACGCTCACGTGGCAAAACAAAGGCTCTAATTTTTTTGTAGAACGTCTCGGTGAGGACCGTGTGCCACTCTAAGCCTTGGAAAAATTCCTGGAAATGAAACATTTGGAGACATGTGAGCATCAGAAGGACATGCACAATGACAATCTTTTAGACAAAGAGTTTGGCGTACCTTGTGTTTGTCTAGAAGGTTGTGCACATCCTCTACTGAGCTGGCGATCATCTTCTGGTCAGCGTTCATCTTATCTTGGGCCGTGTCCACCAGATCAATTAGATCCTGCAGAACTCGTTCATACTGATTTTTCAGTGCCATATTCTGGTTCAACCCGCTCCGTCGAGAGCCCACTGTCATCACCAGCTCCTCATAAGCATCCTGTCCAGCATACACGGACAACTTTGAGAATATTCAGGTATTTTATTTCTAAACCACTATAACTTGGGACTACTTGATATGCTTCTGTTTTTAGAGTAATTGAGAACACAAACGTGTTTGACAGATTTGTTGATTGGGTGTTACCTGTAGCTTCAGCAGCTCATTGGTGGAGAACTGGTCCAGCTGTAGCTCCGCCCCTCTGGCTTTCAGCTCTGTTATTCTGTGCTCAAAGTCTTTTAGCGTCTCCTCTGCCTCTGCAATGGTCTGTCAGAACAAAAGTGAGTTCACAGCGATATGATTGGATGAACTGTAAACTATTTTATTGTTAACTAAAACGAAACATAAAACTATTAAAAAAATAAAGCAAAAAAAATAATATGTAAATATAAGACAAAAATGAAATGCTGGCAACTAACTGAAAATTTTTTTTTTAAGTTGAAGTACTAAAATAACAAAAACTGAAATAATAAATAAAGTTAAATAGAAATATTACAAAAATTAAAACTAATAAAAATGACAAAACAACATAAAATGAAGAACCTAAAATCAAAATGAGAACTGAAAATATAAAAATGTTCAAAATATTAATAAATATTATAATAGTATATAAATAAAACTAATATCGGCATACTACTACAATCACTGTTTATAAATATGACAACATCTAATAATTAAATACAATTAGTAATCGCTAATTATTCAATGCATTAATTAATAATCAAATATGAAGTATTCTTTCTTACTTCAATCTGTTTAGTTGTTGTGTGATCAAGAACTCCTGCCATTTTCTGGATAATCTGGAACTTGCTTTCACTAAGCGCTGTAAAGAGATGCTGCAGCTCCGTCTGAAAACAAACAGGAACTGAGATGATGTTACTGTGTTGCATTATTGTACAGAACTGAACGGTGCCTGATTCCCACCTGGAAAGCTGTGAGCTCCCGCATTCGGCTCCTCATGGTGTCACAGCGGCGGTCCAGTGCCGAGTCCAGAGCTGCCAGGCGTCGAGTCAGACAGTCGAGGGTGTCCTTCATCAGGGTCTGCTCTTCCTCAGATAGTCCCACAGAGCTGCCTATGAGCCCCTCGCTGTGGCTGATCTGCCTCGTCACCTCCGTCACTTCTTTTCCCAATGTCTGTAATGCAAGGAAGTGTTTGACATTTTAACTTCACTAAAACCTACGATTTATATATACATGTATGCATTATCAGATGCTTTTATTCAAAACAGAAGCATAAGTAATTCATCACAGTGCCAACAATATTCATAGTATACAATGCCACCTGCTTGATAATTTTATTCAAATGTGCTTTATTTAATTCTACAGCTCTAGCTGTAGTTTTACTTTTCACTATTAGCAGTGTTGCTATTGTGAAGTAAAACTATTAAAAATCATTTTCGGTCATTGAAATAAAATAAAATAATAGATAAAAAAAAAATAATTTAAAAACTTAAAATTAGAAATGTTGCCTTGGCAAGTAAAATGACTAAAACTAAAACCGAAATAAAATTGAATTAGAGCCATATGTAAATATTAAGCATATAACAAAACTGCTAAAACTTAAACTAAAATTAAAAAGAAAACTGAAAATATAAAAATTCAAAATACTAATAAATACAGTAATAGTATATAAATAATACTAAAACAACACTGACTATTAGGAAAGCTTAAGTACTTAAAGGGGTCATATGATGCTATTTTAAAGATCATTATTTTAGAGCCATATGTAAATATTAAGCATATAACAAAACTGCTAAAACTTAAACTAAAATTAAAAAGAAAACTGAAAATATAAAAATTCAAAATACTAATAAATACAGTAATAGTATATAAATAATAATAAAACAACACTGACTATTAGGAAAGCTTAAGTACTTAAGCATTTATATAAACAGATGGGAAGCAGCGGCCCAAAAATTGTCTCTAATTAAAATTACTAATTTAATTATATTATACATTGTCTAAAAATACAAGAAATTATACTAAAAATACAAAAAATGGTCTCTAATTAAAATGACTAATATTATAATAATTAAGAATTTTAAGAATTTAAAAATATTTTAAAAAGCAATAATAATTTAAGCCAATTTTAACAATTCCATGTAATTTTCTGTCCACATCAAATATATCTAAGGAGAAATATAAAAAACAAACAAACATAGAAATAGAAATGCATCTCAGTAGTCTTTCTATGTCAGATACGAACTGATTCTAAAGCAGGATGCGAACTACGGGGGAGCTAGGGGGAGTGTATGCATTTTAAGCTAAAAACTTGATGCTAAAAAGAGTTAATGTTACTTGTCATCTACCCTCTTACATTTCAGTTATGTGAACTAGTCATTTTAGTTATGTGAACTAGTCATTTTAGTTATGTGAACTAGCGATGAGAGAAACAAAGCTTTTTGAAACTTTGAATCAATTGAATCACTTGCTTCCAAAATGATTCATTGTTTCAACACGCTTGAAAATGCTGGTCAAAATGGTGTAAATGCAACAAAAACTTAGCCTAAACATGCATAAAACACTTTTTACAACCAACTGTAGACGTTTAGTTACAGTACATTCTCACTGATAAAAAGAGAGGAAAGACTAATCTGGTTATTTCCAGGAAATGCATGAACTGATCAAATTAGAAAAAAGCGTCTGCTAAGTGCATTCATGTAAATGTAATATTCAGCATGCAGATTAAGATATTAAAAACGATAAATTTATTTAAAAATTTTTTTTAAAAAGGATTTTTTTTGTATGCTCATATTAATTCAGAGGCTTCATGGAATATCTGAACTTTCAGAAATACATCTGTCACACATTATGAATTTTAAAGTTATCTGCAAAAAATCGGAAAGATGATCAAATTGCTCAAATGTATGCATTTTAAGCTAAAAACTTGATGCTAAAAAGAGTTAATGTTACTTGTCATCTATCTACCTTCTTACATTTCAGTTATGTGAACTAGTCATTTTAGTTATGTGAACAAGTCATTTTAGTTATGTGAACTAGCGATGAGAGAAACAAAGCTTTTTGAAACTTTGAACCAATTGAATCACTTGCTTCCAAAATGATTAATTGATGATTCATTCATTCATGATTCATTGTTTCAACACACTTGAAAATGCTGGTCAAAATAGTGTAAATGCAACAAAAACTGAGCCTAAACATGCATAAAACACTTTTTATAACCAACTGTAGACGTTTAGTTACAGTATAATCTCTAAAAAGTTCAGTCATGAAACTCTAGATGGCGCATTCTGACGGGGTGTTAACGTAACTGATGATATTCAGAGAGTTAAACGTTCCGCCAAGACCAAATACATTAACATTGTCATATCCATCACCATGCTAAAATCTTCCGAGAGTCGTCATGATTGAAATACAATTAACAAATCATCAAATACAATTTAATATGCAATATCTGTATGAAATGTGTTCTTTTATTCATTTACAGGGCTTGTTTTGTTTGTTTTATGGACATCTTGGTTAATCAGGCAACAATATTCTATTATCTACTATTCTTCCTCGTTATCATACAAATGTGTCATTAAAAATGTTCACAAATGTATGAAACTGAATGAGGTAAAAAACATTGACACTGGTTCATGGGTTCACAGAGGTCGTCCCCTAATGACGAACCAATAACATTTAGAAACATTGCTAAAGAGTTAAGACGTAACGAAGCCTCGTTTACTGAAATCACATAACTTTGTTAGTTCGACACAATCTGAATCACTGGTTCAAAGCAAATGACTCTCAAAGGTTTTCATGAAGCTTTTGAAAAAGCCTGTCGTTAATGTGAACACTGTAATGAAGTCACCGTACCGGTTGTTTGCTGTCTTGCTCCAGCGTGTTCATAAGGAGCTGTAGTTTAGTGGCCATGTCTTTTTTCAGACTTTCCCATCTCTTTCTCCTCTGTTTCTTCACGGCCTGAATGTCTCCCTCCTGCTCCACATCAGGCGAGAGGATCTCTGTTGCACTGCAGAATATTTGACAGACAGAACTGTGAAGAGAGAGAGTCAGAGATGTAAATGTTTGAGGTAAAAATGATATTCCAGTAAGATGTGAGAGAAATGTTACCTGGCTCTGACGGGTGACGCCTGCTGGGTGAGGATTTCCTCTCCACGACTCGCTACAGATTTCAACAGCTTCTTCTGCTCTGCAAGTTGCTCTTCAAGCTCCTGAATGAACAATATTATCATTCCTCATTTAGCAGATGCTTTCTTATTGAATGCAAATCACAGTAGACTTACTACAGGTTCAGTCCAACTAGAGGACACAATGGTGATAGTTCTAGATCTGTTGTTTTGTCATTTAAATTCCAAAAACCTTCTCCTTGTAAAATGTGATCTACCTTCTGTTTCTGGAGGGTGTCCTGGTGCTGTAGGCTGCGTGTGGAGCGGGCCTGGGCCAGCCAGTCCTGCATGTTTGGACTCTGGGAGAGACTGGAATCTGATTCACTGGAGTCTGATGGCTCCTTAAGGGAATCCTGCAGGAGAGGGAAAATGCAAATATAAGTACTAACAGTGGATTAATAGTCACGGATATCGAAACCACATCAATCATAATCATAAAATCAAATGATCATCCTATCATGAATCAAATCATCAGTCATCATTCTGCAATATTCTTTTATATAATAGCAGGAAAAAAGGAAGCCATGCAGGAGATTGACATATTCCGACCGAACCCAGTGCTGCTGAATTATTCTGCACATAGAGTGACAAACAAAAAAACTGAGATATATTATTATTACATTTCCTCTTTGAGGGCCTTTCAATTCCTCCCAAATTAAAGTCGCCTGCAGGACATAAAAGACAAACCGTTTAAAGACTCTCACAAAAACATGTCTTGGTCATATTTTATTTTATTATAGAATATCTATTTTATTTTAATAAAACCTATTTTATATCATGTTTTTTCAATATTTTATTATAATAACATTACTAAAATTAGATTCATATTATAAAAATAAAATTTTCTTAAAAATAATATATTATACACACAATATAAATGATATTTTGTTTTAATAAATGCCATTTTTGTAATAATCAGTTTGTTTGCATTGAAATATTATTTTTTATTACATTTCAAAATCCTGAATTAACTTTACATATGAAAAACTGTATATGAGTTTTTTTAAAACTGTAAAAAACTCTCTATAAAAATACAGTTTTTTTTAATATTTCCTATTTTTAAATTAAGATTTTATTGTCATTTGGTTTTATTGAGTTTTTTATTTGTTTTTATTGCTTTCATGCTTAATTTCCATAAATATTTTTTATTCTCACCTGTGAACCATGTAAAGATGCATTTTATTAAAAAGAGTCTACATAAATAAAGTTTATTATTATTATTATGTACCATGATAGTACTATGTTTTTTTGGGCATTGTAAAAAATTTTTTTTCTTGGAGCACCATCTAATGTAATTATATGATATAAGGTATATGCATAAGTTAATTATTCAGTATCATATAAGTATAATAGTACTAACACACTATTACCATAACATGGTACCACCTCTGCAATTTTTAAGCAAATTATATTTTTAAAGATCCAAATGAACCTCTAGGACATAGAGTCGAAAAAGTCTAAGCTTCCAGCCTTGATTCAGAGTTCAAGTCCCACCTGAATGTTGATCTGCTTGTCCTGCAGCATCCTCTGCAGCTCTAGCAGGATCTGCATCTGAAGTGGCATTTAGATGCATTTACACAGACTGTTTAATGCAGGACATGAATGCAGTTAACCTGCAGGTACAAAAGCATAAATAATGTTATATAATATATATCGCAAAAAATCATAAAAATGATATTCCTGTGAGATGTGAGAGAAATGTTACCTGGCTCTGACGGGTGACGCCTGCTGGGTGAGGATTTCCTCTCCACGACTCGCTACAGATTTCAACAGCTTCTTCTGCTCTGCAAGTTGCTCTTCAAGCTCCTGAATGAACAATATTATCATTCCTCATTTAGCAGATGCTTTCTTATTGAATGCAAATCACAGTAGACTTACTACAGGTTCAGTCCAACTAGAGGACACAATGGTGATAGTTCTAGATCTGTTGTTTTGTCATTTAAATTCCAAAAACCTTCTCCTTGTAAAATGTGATCTACCTTCTGTTTCTGGAGGGTGTCCTGGTGCTGTAGGCTGCGTGTGGAGCGGGCCTGGGCCAGCCAGTCCTGCATGTTTGGACTCTGGGAGAGACTGGAATCTGATTCACTGGAGTCTGATGGCTCCTTAAGGGAATCCTGCAGGAGAGGGAAAATGCAAATATAAGTACTAACAGTGGATTAATAGTCACGGATATCGAAACCACATCAATCATAATCATAAAATCAAATGATCATCCTATCATGAATCAAATCATCAGTCATCATTCTGCAATATTCTTTTATATAATAGCAGGAAAAAAGGAAGCCATGCAGGAGATTGACATATTCCGACCGAACCCAGTGCTGCTGAATTATTCTGCACATAGAGTGACAAACAAAAAAACTGAGATATATTATTATTACATTTCCTCTTTGAGGGCCTTTCAATTCCTCCCAAATTAAAGTCGCCTGCAGGACATAAAAGACAAACCGTTTAAAGACTCTCACAAAAACATGTCTTGGTCATATTTTATTTTATTATAGAATATCTATTTTATTTTAATAAAACCTATTTTATATCATGTTTTTTCAATATTTTATTATAATAACATTACTAAAATTAGATTCATATTATAAAAAAAAAATTTTCTTAAAAATAATATATTATACACACAATATAAATGATATTTTGTTTTAATAAATGCCATTTTTGTAATAATCAGTTTGTTTGCATTGAAATATTATTTTTTATTACATTTCAAAATCCTGAATTAACTTTACATATGAAAAACTGTATATGAGTTTTTTTAAAACTGTAAAAAACTCTCTACAAAAATACAGTTTTTTTAATATTTCCTATTTTTAAATTAAGATTTTATTGTCATTTGGTTTTATTGAGTTTTTTATTTGTTTTTATTGCTTTCATGCTTAATTTCCATAAATATTTTTTATTCTCACCTGTGAACCATGTAAAGATGCATTTTATTAAAAAGAGTCTACATAAATAAAGTTTATTATTATTATTATGTACCATGATAGTACTATGTTTTTTTGGGCATTGTAAAAAATTTTTTTTCTTGGAGCACCATCTAATGTAATTATATGATATAAGGTATATGCATAAGTTAATTATTCAGTATCATATAAGTATAATAGTACTAACACACTATTACCATAACATGGTACCACCTCTGCAATTTTTAAGCAAATTATATTTTTAAAGATCCAAATGAACCTCTAGGACATAGAGCCGAAAAAGTCTAAGCTTCCAGCCTTGATTCAGAGTTCAAGTCCCACCTGAATGTTGATCTGCTTGTCCTGCAGCATCCTCTGCAGCTCTAGCAGGCTGCCTTTCAGCGTACGCAACTTCCTGGACAGCTGCTCCGCGTCCTCCCTGTTCTCCGGCTGGCCCTCCAGCAGAAGATTCTCACTTTGTCTGGAGAGCTCGGAGAGAGCCAGCACCTTCTCCTCGATCTCCAGCAGCATGTTCTGCAGGAGCAACAGAAGCGAGGCCAGCTCAAACATGGTTCTTCCGCTCTCATCCCAGGCCCTTACTGACACCTACAGCGCCGTACATTATCCATAATCCCTCACGTGCCATTCTCCCAGTAAACATGCATTCTTTAGGATAACGGGAATGTATAAAAATACTTAAAATGATATCCAAAATTCACTTGGAAAATGTTAAGACTACGCATAAGCTTGTAATAAAAAGTCAAGGTGTTTCACAGTGGGACATCTGCCAGTTTGTAACCTTCCCATGAAGGCAAAAGTAGCCCCGCCCTTTCCCCACTAATGCTGCAGCCAGCCTCATGAATATGTAATACGGGGCGGGACAGATTTCCAGTGAGCACCAATCCTCTCACAGGAATCCTCTAATACCCTTAAATCCATTATAACTGTAAACGGTGTTACGCTGAGACATTTACATAATCTGATTACAGCTCGTGCCACAGAATCAATTCATCTGAACGCTCAGAGGCCTTCTAATAATACTGCTGCTTACGGATAAAAAAGTTTCCTGTTCCTGAATCCAGTGGAATTAAGCAAAACTCAACTAAGCAGGCATAAATTTCAGGAGTTAACACAAAATAATACATTTTCTTTTGTACTTCAATCTGTAAATAATTCATATAGTGCACATTTTGTGATCTGCTGTAGGGGGCGCTCTAACCTGACAGTCTATGAGTTGATCTTCCATGTCTGAGTCCTGAGAGCAGGAAGTGATGTCACCACGAGTGCTCTGTAGCCATTGGTCCAGCTGGTCTGCCTGGTTCAGGTAGCGCTGCAAAGTCTGAGCCTGTTGCTGCTTTTCCACACGTTCACTCTGTCGCTCCTACACACATCAGCATATATATATATACCAGTTATCTTTATAGAACAGAAGCCTTTATCAGGCTATAAAATGAGTGAAAACGTCAGTACACCATAACTTTACGAAGAAACTGAGATCAAAAAAGATTTCCAAAAATTTAAGAAAACATTTTTTTTTTTAAAGAAATGAATGCTTTTATTCAGCAAGGATGCACCAAATTGATCAAAAGTGACAGTGAAGAGAAGACATTCATAATGCTGTTTCTTTGAACTTTCTATTCATCAAATAATCTTGAATATCAGCACAAATGTTTTCAAAATTGAAAATGTTTTTTGAGCATCATATTAGCATATTAGAATGATTTCTGAAGGATCATGTGACACTGAAGACTGGAGTGATGATGCTGAAAATTCAGCTTTGCATCACAAGAATAAATTACATTTTACATTATATTCAGATAGAAAACAGTTCTTTTAAATTGTAATAATATTTTACAATATTGTAAAATCGTGGTTATCGTGGTTGACTCTTAACTTTTATAAAGAATATCTCTTTGGATTTGAGACTTTAGTCTTTGCAACTTTACAGATCTTCTTTATGCACCAAGAGCTTGAAACACTCCAAAGAGAAAGGAAAAATTGAAATAGCATCATATGACCCCTTTAAAGGTTTTTATTTTTCATTATTATTTACAATATTATTTATTTTTTAACAATACTAACTTTTTTAATAGGCACCTGGTTTGCATTTCAAAACTACACTTGAAGTCGCACCTTTCCAAAGCAGAAAATAAAGTTTTACTTTATTTTTTCACAACATGTTTGCAAAATACTGAGCAATAATTATGTATGAAGGGTGTTCTAAAAATAAATTAGACATATTATTTAATTATTATTCTAGGCATACCTCAAGAAGTTGGCGTTTTCCAGAAGCCTTCATGTGGATGGTGGCCATCCTCTCGGTCAGCACAGTGAGTGTGGACTGCATGGCCAGCTGATCCGCAGAGTCCGAGTCCACCGCATCAGAGATCAGCTCTTCTGTGAAGCTGGACTCAAGCTCATCTATATCATTCTGCAGTTTGACAATTTCCTCCGTCTGATTCTGGAGGAATACGGAAGTATGAAGTTTTTGTTGTGCATCGATATTCTTATAAATCTCTTACAGTCTACAGCTGGAGCTAGAGTATAGTATTTCAATCTTCTCACCTGGTGTAGGACCATTTGTCTGTCAGGACTGAGATCGTGCATAGGAGGCTCGTTTAATCTGGCCTCGATGGACTCCATCTTAGTCGAGATGGTCTGTAGAGAGCCCTGATAGCGCTGCTGCTTCTCCAGAGCCTCGTAGAGCGTCTTCTGCTTTTCACTTATCTGTAAAACACAGAAATAAACTCAAAGACCAGATTTTAAATCCTGGTGCATCTGACTGTTGAACAGAAAAGTCATACGTACCACATTTTTCAGCGTCTCCCACGAGCGCTGAAGATCATCTAAGCTCGCTACAGACTCCAGCGCGGGATTGTACAGCTCCTGGATGGGCGCTCTGGTGAGAGTGGCCCTTCCCATGGACATCTGTAATTTAGGACAGTCCAAAAAGATGATGATAAATAAGAGAGAACAAATACATCATGTTAATGTACTACAAAGTCATTGCACTGCTGTCTGTCACAGGCTTAACATATACTGATTCAGGTTCACATTAAGTGTACTATATGTTCAGAATGACAGACTACACCTACCAGGAGTGCAGCAGTGTTATTTTAGTATCATTGAGATACTCTTATTAGTTTTTATTAATAATTCTGAGTTTGTATTATACAGTTTTTTTTGTCATTTTTAGTCTTTTTATATGTCTATATAGAAACTATATAGACATAAGATATGTCTATATAGTTTTTATTATTTTTTATTTCAGTTTTTGTTTTATTTATTTTAGCACATTAGGTTAAATTAAATTGAAATAAGAAATGCTACCTTGGCAACTAACTGAAAAAAAAACCCAGTTAAAAAAACAGTTAAAAACAGTTAATGTTTATTTTATTTCAAGTAACAATTTTAAAAAATGGTTTTAGTTTTACTTAACTATAATAACCCTGGAATGCAGTATGAATATTGTGCACAGTATGTGAATTTTCTGCATATATGAAATCATTTCCCACTACATTTACCAAAAGGCACATTATACAACCAGAACACTGCTATTTACTAAAACTGAAATAAAAATAATTAAAACTCTATAGAAATATTTAAAATGATGCAATTTGATTCTGTTTTTGGATATGTAATTATGTGGTGGACAAAGATAAGACATTTTTTACACAACAAATGACGATGTAGTGCATTGCTATTCAAAACATTATTGCATTACAATTTTCACAACTAGTATGCAGTATACAGTATAAACTACGTATAAGATTGTATGTTAGGTTTCTATTCCAAACCTTTTTTTTTTTTTTGAATAAAATTAAGGTGAAACTGGGAATTGCAAAAAGGCAGTACAGGTCTGCTAGAAATCAGATCAAGAAACAAACATTTTTTTTTCTTCTGTTAATACCTTGCTAATGGCTGCTTCTGTGTTAGTGATAGGAGAGGGAGATCGACAGAAAGCAGGAGAGCAGACCTCCCTGCTGGTGCCCTCCTCGCCAGACTCCTCTGTCACAGGAGACAGGAGAGACTGACAGCGACCAGCCGACATCTGACAGCATCACAAGAGAGAGAGTCACAGAGCAGAAGATATTAGTCAGTCAGTTCACAGAGCTGTAAAGTTAATTGATTATGACATGCAAAGATCACAGAGAGAAAAGTAAAAAAGGCAATTCAGGTAAGAGTCAGTTTTTAATCAACATTGCAAGTCAACTTCTTATTCTGTATCATTCACTTAATTAGTACTTTTGTTTTGATTTCATGAATCAATAATTTAAATATTTAAAACTAAATTTGGATTAACCTGAAAACCCTTTTCAAGGGTAACAATCCTAATATCTTACGTCATTTGCTTGTTGAGAAAATTGATCTTGATTTAAGGATGATTATCTATTTTTAATACAAGACAAAAATTTAGATTAGCCAATTAAAAACATGATTACAAATCATGTTTTGTAGTGCACACGGTTACTTAGAATTTATGAACAAAGAGCAATTGCTTTTTAAACATTTAACACTCCAGTCTGTTTCCTTTCCCCACAATTACAATGTCATGCCTGCGTTCAGGGTAATGATACATACGGAGACTTGTGATTGGGTCTTTCTTTTAATAGCATCACCGTCCAGTTCCTCCAGACTCTCGGTTAAACCCTCTGCATCACTCACTGACAGGAGCGTGGTGGCGTGTTTAGCTTTCACCGTCAGCATCTTACACTTGGAGTTCAGGGATGCAATTTGCTCCTGGTAGCCCTTGATTTTCTGGGCCAGTTCCTGTTTAGATAAAAATAAACAGAATACAGAAGATATTATTTAGTTGCCCTTTAGGTTAATGCAAGAAACAGGAAAGATCAGTCTGGCTAAACACAAACAGTAGATGTTAAAACACAAAAACAAGATTAGCAGACAGTGTGGCATCTCTGATCTAAATATCCATCTCACTTCATCAAAGTTGGAATTTTTTACCTAAAACTCTTTAAATAAATATTTCATTTGTTTTTAATTATTTTATTAACATTTTTAAAATGTTAAAAATAAATGAAAATAACTGAAATAAAGCTGAACTAAAATAACATATAAATATAAAATATAATATCAATAAATAAAAAACTATATAGAAATATGAAAAAATAAATAAAAAATGACAAAAACATATTACGGAGCCCCGCACATGACATGCAAGAAAAAAAATTAAAATCATGCGCACGATTTACTAATTCGTTCAATCGATGTACTAAACCGTACACACGATTACTATTTCGTTCCCTCAATGTACTAAAACGTACACACGATTACTATTTCTTTCCCTCGATTTGCTCATTCGTTCCCTCGATTTGCTAATTCGTTCCCTCGATTTGCTAATTCGTTCCATCGATTTGCTAAATCATTCCCTCAATTTGCTAATTCATTCCCTCGATTTGCTAATTCGTTCCATCGATTTGCTAATTCGTTCCCTCGATTTGCTAAATCATTCCCTCAATTTGCTAAATCATTCCCTCAATTTGCTAATTCATTCCCTCGATTTGCTAAGTCGTTCCCTCGATTTGCTATTTCGTTCCCTCGATTTGTTAATTCGTTCCCTCGATTTGCTATTTCGTTCCCTCGATTTGTTAATTCGTTCCCTCGATTTGCTAATTCGTTCCCTCGATTTGCTAATTCGTTCCCTCAATTTGCTAATTCGTTCCATCGATTTGCTAAATCATTCCCTCGATTTGCTAATTCGTTCCCTCGATTTGCTATTTCTTTCCCTCGATTTGCTAATTCGTTCCCTCGATTTGCTAATTCGTTCCCTCAATTTGCTAATTCGTTCCATCGATTTGCTAAATCATTCCCTCGATTTGCTAAATCGTGCACACAATTTACTAATTGCTTTTTCTCTATTTATAAATCGTGTGCACGATTTAGCAAATCGAGGGAACGAATTAGTAAATTGTGCGCACAATTTATAAATCGAGGGAACGAAATAGTAAATTGTGCACACGATTTAGCCTACTATTTTTTTCCTGCATGCCATGTGCGGGGCTCCATAGCATATAACAAAATTATTTTAAAATTAAATTTAAAATAAAAACTTTAAAATTAAAATGAAAACTGAAAAATATGAATAAATACTATAATAGTAAATAAATAAAAAAAATAACATTGCACCTCATGATGGTTAATTTGTGCCTGCAGCTCTTGGATGTTGCTGGTGTTCACAGGTTGGTCCTGAATGACCCGGTGAGCATCTTCAATCATGGCCTGCAGGTTTCTGACTTCCTGTTCATACTGGTCATATTGCACCACTGCCTCCTAAACAGACATCACACAAATACATACATTTTTTATATTTAATATCATTACTTAAATTAGATTAATAATAATTACTACACCCCTTAACCAACCTCTTTCAGATATCTTTGACATATTTAAATACAAATTGAGACATTATATAGTTCCTTTACAAAGGTGTTTCATCATGTAGACCCCACGAAAATGTTCATTATCATTATTTACTTCCTCTAAATACATCTCTAATTTATAATCCTTTCTGACAGATCATAAAACAAACACAGCATTTGTGCCTAATAAGCTATAAGCTCTCAACACATGATCCATGAAAATTCAGGCGTGTTTGGTGGCTGGTAAGCAGGTGTTTTTATTCCCATCTGGTGCCACAACTGCTCTCCCTACCTGCAGGATGTTGCATTGCTGGATGGCAGTGTGCTGGAGTTGACTGGCCTCTTGCTGCAGATTCAGAGCAGTGCGGCAGATGGACAGACTGGTCACCACTTCCTCAGGGACTCTTAAAGCGCTCTGACACTCCTGTACGGCATCTACCTGCTGCTTGAAGCTCTCCATGTCCACCAGCAAACGCTGAAAAAAAGATTACTTTTTTAAAATGGTGTTCTATTATAAGAACAAAACTGCTTCACTTCCAAACTAAAATATGTATGTAGCAAAAACACTCAATAATTAATCAGAAGAACCTTTCTGTTACCAGTCCAGATATTTAACCAGTTACACTACAGCCAAAGACTTATTTACCTAGAAGAGTATACTTCAAATTATGTTTACTTTATGCATACTTGAAAGGAAAAGTTCACCCAAAAATGAAACTTTGCTGAAAATGTTCTTATGCTCAGGCCATCCAAAAGTGTAGCATTACATCACTTGCTCACCAATGGATCCTCTGCAGTGAATGGGTGCCGTCAGAATGAGAGTCTAAACAGCTGATAAAAACATCACAATAATCCACACAACTCGAGTCCATCAATTAAAGTCTGACTGCAGAAGATCCTTTGATGAGCAAGTGATGTAATGCTAAATTTCCCCAAACCTGTTTCCAATGAAGAAGCAAACTCATCTACATCTTGCATGACCTGGGTGAACTATTCCTTAAAGTTTCCTGGTTTCTAACATCTAACATGTAGTCAAGTATGTTACGCTTGGAATTATGGGTATTATATATAACATTTTAGAGGGTGTCTTAAAGAGGAAAATAAATGCTTCTTGAGGATCAAGACAGATAAATGCACCTGTCTTTGAGTCAGTTGTTCTTTCAGACTCAGTCGGGCCAGTTCAGGAGATGTGAGAGTGGCTTGAACCTGCTCCAGTGACACATGCAGGGCCTTCACTTCACTCTCAAACCTCTCCATATCCTGAAACAAAATACAAATGCAGTCACGCTGAGCTAGAGAAAAAGTCTTCAGTGTACTTACCAGTTTGTTAGTTAGTTTATCATTTTTATTGCCATGTCAGCATCTAAGGCTATCTTCATGGCAAAAATTGACTTAGAATAGCATAGTTAACAGAATAAAACATTTTAAAAAATGTCAAACCTTTTCTGCGTCTTGTAGACTATGCAGTCGTGATCTAATGCTCAGCTCCAGCTCCTCAGTGTGGCGGCTCAGTTCTGACACCTGCTGTCCCATTGCCTCCACCTGCAGCGTCTCAGACAGTATTTCCACCTTCTCATGCATGGCCTCCAGGTCACCATGGAGCTCACGCGACTCACGCAGAACAGACTGCAAGGTCAAAAACACAGGTAGGTTATTTCACAAAAATAAATATATAGTTCAGTCATGAAACTCTAGATGGCGCAGGCTGACGGGTTGTTAATGTAACTGATGATATTCAGAGAGTTAAACGACTTGGCACAAGCTGATTGGTTCATGCTGCATATGCAGCCAATGATACATATTGATACATGTTCACCTGATACATCCTGATCTGCTCTTGCAGGTGCGAGGAGGAGTTCCAGATGATGTTGGCCTTCACCAGGCTCCTGGCTCTGTCTGTCCACTTCACTATGAACTCAAACATCTCATTGTACTCATCTAGATGTGCATCAGCCTTGAGCGAAAAAGACACACCACATCACATGCAATACATGAAAAGCTCTAATCAAAAGGTCAAACCAAGCAAATAGCCTGAAGGAAATAGGCTGAGATTGTATCTTTTTTTCTATTAGCTGAATGTTTATTTTCTCTATTTAAACATACTATAATATATCTTCTTACCTTCTTCAGCCATGTTGTATTATATTCAGCCAGTCGAAGAGTGTGATGATGGATCTCTCGTAATTTGGCAATTGCATCAGCCAGCTGTCTGGCTATCAGAGGGTTACGGCGACCAAAGTCCTGCACTGCTGCTTCTAGCTCAGCGAGATTTCGTCCACAGCCGTCAAGTTCATCACAGAGACGCTAGGAATACAGTCAAAGTACTTTATGCTCATTCAAATGAGGGAAATTTGTTTATTAAAAAAAATAGAAATATTATCAATTTTACTATTATTGGGATGCAACACATACTCTGGCCTCATCTTTGGCCTGATCAATATCAGTGGCCTTTTCCTTTAGAGAGGTTGAGACAGTCTTCAATTTTTCGGACACGTCATGAATTCTGGAGTTGAACTCCTCTTTGATAACTCTGGTCTTCTGGATGTCTCTCTCCTTGGCTTGAACCTAAAGATATGATTCATGTTTTATATCTTGCATAAGGCTTTATTAAATATGCTAATGTTGTTGAAAATATGTCTCCTACGAATTAATGAGAAACTGCATATTGATCCAAAATGAAAAAATGAAAAGGGTAATTATGTACCTGGTCCTCAATGGATCCCAGTGCCAGGGACACTTCAGCCAGTTGCATTGAGATCTCAGACGGTAAAATAGTGTACAGGTCCAGGTATTTACTTTGCTGCTGTTCTGCAAGCTTATCCACATTCTGGCGATGAGTGATCAGCTCTCCATGCATCACCTTCACAATGATACAATATAATTAAGACAATCAAAATTATACAAACGTTCTATTTATATGATGCTATTATAGTATGTACATTGTGCACAACATGCAAATCTTCTATATGTATGCAATGCCAGGATGACACACTATATTTGCTAAATGTGTAGTATACAAGAAATACTGCACTAGGCAGAAATACTGCATGCCATGTGTTCAACTTCATTTTAACTCACCTAACTTACATGCAATATAATGACAACAGTGAAGCATACTGAAGTTTTAACAAATATTGTTGGCTACAGAATTTCACATATTCTTTTCACCTCCAGTTCTTGTGTCAGAATGTCCAGATCAGACGTGGGGTTCAGCAAAAGCTCCCTGGAGTCCTGGATCCAGCTCTTGACAAGACTCAGCCCTCTCTCCACACCTTCCCTGTCCGACAGTTCCTGCTGAACCCGAGTCTTTCCTGTCCTGGCCTTCTGCAGAAGACTACAAGAGACACAGCATAAACAGATTAGCATTCAGTCAATATTTGGTATGAGGCATCACAGTCTGATTAGACCAATACGGGAAGCAAAACTACACTGACATTAAACTGGTTAGTATTCAGTCTTTACTATTTGCACTAGCTGCAGATACATTGAGTTACTGTATTGTTTGGTGGATTTCATTATTATTGGTTTGTATTGGATTGGAGAAAGGTTATATACCTTTCAAGCTGATCTTGCACAGCTTTGATCTCCTTCAGACTTGGCAGTTGCTCATGATCAGGAGTTGGCACAGACACCTCCACACCATGTAGCAGGCTGAGAGCGTACTGTCGTAAGAGGGTTAGAGAAGACAGCTCCCTCTCCAGGTCCTGACCAACCAGCTCGTACTGGTCCAGATGTGATTGCAGTGTGGCTTTGGAGGCTTTCTCAGCAGTACAATCAGGAACACGGCCCTTCAGTTCTTCTGTTACAGCTCTTACCTTCATCATCTGAGCAACATAAGTGAAACTCTTATAATGTACCACTAAATTTGATATATAATCAATATACCATTTCAAACCATTTAAAAGTTATAGCATTTCATTTCCTTAATTTGAGTAGGGGCAGAACATCATAATAACATTAAACGAGGACTCCCGGAATATTTGGCCACAAGTATCGACAGTGAAACTGTACCTTTTCTCTGAAAGTTCTCCATTCGTGGGCTGTATCCTCCAGCACCCTTTCTTGGCCTCGTGCTACACTGCGCAACCTGGTCCAGCGCTGCCACACCGTGGTCATGGATCGACTTATGGTGGCTTTACTGGCATCACTTCCAACCAGCTCTAACTGGGAGGCTTGCTCTTCCAGACCAGTCAGCTTTTCTTGGAAACTGTTTACCATGGATACCAACGACTGAAGGCCAAAGATGAAGACATTTTGATCGGTTTATCATCATGTAGACAGTTGAATAAGTTTATCTACTCAAGAAAGAGAGTCAATTCTGCACACTTGGCTTACCTTATGACTACGGAGTTTCTCTTCAGCTTCCTGGCTTGTTGCAGCCTTGGCTGTGGAAAACTCTGTTAGCTTCTTCTCTGCCTCATTCATCAGCTCAATGACTGTCTGTCTGGCCTCCTGATATGAATTCCACTGGGTAACACAGCTGAAAAAGGTCACATTATTACTGTGATTATAATTCAGACCTACATCCAACTACAACATTGGTCTTTATTAGCATAAAACTTGGGTAAATTTACCCTTAATAGATCTAAGCTAGAGCTAAAGAGTTCTGGAAAATTGTGTTCTGTACTAAACTGTACCTGTTTAAGATGTCTTGGTGGCACTGAAGCTGGTCTCTGACCTCCACACCTCTCTGCTGTGCAGACTCCACACTAAGTCGAAGCTGATCCTTGGCTGTAGGGTTGACCAGGTTTTCAAGTTGAGGTGACAATGAATCCAGCTCCTCAAGAACACCCAGGAACTCCTGTTCAGTGGCCATGATGTCTTCCTGTTGCCTCAGACACTCCTCGTAGTTCTCCACATCCACCCCAAGGCTGGCCTGCTGCAAGAAGCCCACAGCGTCCTCCAGCCACTCACAAGCTGTTTGCATTCTGGAGTGATACTTCTGGCACAAGGCGAGAGCTTGCTCTAGCGTTATCTACAGGAGAAACAATTGGATTCGTTAGTGAGTTAGCTAAGGGGAACCATTGGTTAACTAAATCTTGCTGGCTTGGGTAGTTAAGAAGCTTGTTAGGCTCAATGCATCCCATGTTGGGGGGTTATGTTGAAAAGTTATGCAGGATTTTGTGCTTTAACTAGTAGTCTTGGTTCTATTGATAGTTTGGATTAGAACTTGCCTGTTTGGAGCTGAGGGCACGTTGAACATCAGCCTCCAGCTTGGCCATTTCTTGTAGACTTGAGTCCACATGAGGGGGAACGAGCTCATTGGCACTAGTGTACTTCTGCTTCTCTCTGGTGCTTAGAGCTGCCACTATCCTAAGCCTTGACTGAACTTCCTCTTGCATAATCTGTTGCTTTCGGATTTCCTCCTGGACCTTCTCAACCTTGACGTCTACCACCACCTCAGAGCCAAGTTCATCTTTGATTTGCTGGAGCCAAGTTAAGGTCCGATTGACTTCTGTCTCAAAGTCTTTACTCTGCACAAACCTGTTCTCACACTCCACAATTAGTTCCCCAACAGCTGACTGTAAGGACTGAAGCTCTTCTTGCCAAGAGGTTCCTCGCTGCTTTGAAGCCTCGTGTGCGGCGGAATCCATGTGGGGTGCCAGGTTATCCATCTGCTCCATGAGTCGAGTGAGGTGAGAGCTGGCACCATGAAGACTAGCGGCCAGAGCATGATAGTTTTGTAATCTCTCCTCAGCTGACTGCGTCTCTGCATTGACTTTCACCAGTTGCTCTTTGGTGGCCTTCAGCTCTGAATCAACCTGCATAGCCATGGCTTGATGGTCCTCGAAAGATTCCAGAGTGTCATCAAGATGTTCTACCCTCTGCTCAATCAATCTTTTGAGACCGTTGTAAAGGCTAACCAGTTGGGTCATTTCTTCAGGTCTCCAAGGTTGACCGGTGCTACGAAATCCCTCTTTCTTCTGGTTAAGCTCACTGACGGCTTGTCCAAGATTGGTCAGCTCCTCCAGGAGGCCTTTATAATCAGCCTGAAGACGGACAACCTCCTCAGTCTTAAGGCCGACAGACTGCGTCCCCAAGTTGTGGAATTGTTCCTCAAGTTCTTTAAGCGCTTTGTGGGTCACATCAATAAAGGAGGCATATTCCTGTCTGGCAAGAATGGCTTGTTGTATTTTCTCTTGTTTCTCCTTGGCTAGTCCCAAAATATTATTGTACTGTTGTGGAAGAGCAATCAATTTCTCATCTAAGTAGCAATGGTCCACTTCATTCAGAGTGGGAAGTATTTCTTGACCTGTTCTTTGCACAGTTAGCAGGAGGTTCTCATATTCCATGGCTTGATCCAATATTTGTTGGTATTTTGTAAGCTGCGAACTTAATTCTGCATCTCCATTCATGAGGTTTATCTCTGGGAAGGTCACAATATCGGCTTGCTTCAACCACTGGCATATCTTTTCGAGATCTGCCTTGAAGTACTTCCTGGTCACCAACACTTTCTCCAGCTCCTGTAGCCTCTGGCTACACTTCTGTAGGGAAACTTCAAAGATATTCTGCAGCTCTTGGAGTTTGTTTAGCATCTCTGATTTCTCTTCTTCGGCAGCGTTTTTCATCAGATCCCTGCCTTGGGACCACAGGGAGGTCAGCTCACTCTGGTAGGCTCTCAAGCTGCTCTGAATATTCCTACAAGTCCTCAACTGCTTAGATAGGTCATCAGGAAGAAGGGCTATGTACTCATCTGCTTGTGCTTTCTTTTCATTTTGCTGGACCCAGGTGATAGCTTGATTCACAGCCAAAAGGAACTGGGTTCTCTCTGTAAAGGCTTTGCTCAGGTGTTTCCTTCGTTGAGCAACTTTGACGCTCAAGGACTCTACCTCTGCTTGAGTTTCTGAGATGAGCTGCTGCAGTCTTTGCCTTTCGTTAAGCCCCAGATGTGCTAAAACCCTATCTGCATCACTCATAGCCTGAGCCAACAGAAGCTGCTTGGCTTCCAGCTCACTGCATATGCTTAGATGGTCGAAAAGGAAACTCTGAGCTAGTTCAGGAGGAGGACTCATCTTCATGGCTTCGGATAAGGCAGGCTTCTGTTCCTCAGCCCATTCGCGAGCTTCCCTCAAACGGGCCTCAACTTGGCCCATGTCTTCAAGGGTCACAATGGAGTCTTGGATCTTCCTCTCTATGAGACTCTCCAGATGGGCCCATCGCTGCTCAAAGTGGCCAATCTGCTCCTTCACCAACTCTTTATCATCCAGGTTTAAGTGGTACATTACTTTTTGCTTCTGCTCTTTGAGGTCCTCAAGTGTGCTTTTCTTTTCTTTAAGAACAACCGAGAGCTTCCGAAGAGCCTCCAAATGATCAGATGAACTCTCAGCATCAGTTCTACAAGATCATAAAATAATAATGTAACTCCCAGAAGTCTCAAATTACACTTCCGTTGTAGCACTAATTAAAAGTGACATATGAATACATTTACACTAAATCCTGAATATCAGTTTTACCTGGCCAGGTTATCCCATTCCTTGGACACCTGTTCAAAGAGGGCTTCCATGGCACTGATGCAGTCATGATACTCTTTAGTCCTCTGCAGATCTTCCTCTCTCTGAGCCTGCAGTTTGTTGGCCTGATGGCACAGTTCCAGCCATGCATGGCTCAGTCGTCCAATCTCTGTATGCTCAGGAGACTCCTGCCCTTCTGTCAGCTTACTCACAAGCTCTGTCATTGTAGTCAGAGTGCTTTGTCTGTTTTGAAGCTGCTGGCCAAATTCCTAAAGGCAACATGAGCACAGAGAATAAGCCAAGTGTATAAAAAGAGACAACATGAGAAATTTAAAAAAAAAACACTCTTTTATGTTATAAATAAATCACCCTGGTCCTAATGTGAACAATTCATCGGCGCACGTTATTCTAAAAATAAAAATGTCTGTTTTCATAATCTATCATCAAAATGTAATAATGAAATAAGTATCTCCACAATGGAAACATTTAGCTTTTTCCGCCTTCCTGCTGATGTAATCAATGCCAGGGCATGTGAAAAATAATATAAACCAATAAAATCATAGCCTACTTTACATAATTCAATAAAAAAACTAAATCCAACCCTACATTATTTCCAAATGAATATACTGTTTGACTCAAAGTACATCAAATTATAGAAGTTAAAAGTATTCCGAAGAGCCTCCAAATGATCAGATGAACTCTCAGCATCAGTTCTACAAGATCATAAAATAATAATGTAACTCCCAGAAGTCTCAAATTACACTTCCGTTGTAGCACTAATTAAAAGTGACATATGAATAAATTTACACTAAATCCTGAATAACAGTTTTACCTGGCCAGGTTGTCCCATTCCTTGGACACCCGTTCAAAGAGGGCTTCCATGGCACTGATGCAGTCATGATACTCTTTAGTCCTCTGCAGATCTTCCTCTCTCTGAGCCTGCAGATTGTTGGCCTGATGGCACAGCTCCAGCCATGCATGGCTCAGATATATATATATATATATGTGTGTGTGTGTGTGAGTGTGTGTGTGTGTACGTGTATAAACATATATTACATATTAAAGATTTTTTATTTGAAAATTATATATATAAAATTCAACATAAATATGACATTTACTTTGGCTTGATCAAGCATGTTTTGAGCAATCTTGGGCTCCAACTCAGCTGGTCTCCTGGATAGACTTTGCAATTGCTGTTCCATATCTTGGAAAAGTGTTGAGAGTTCCTGTTTTTGCTCTTTAATCTCCCTCCAGCTATCCGACAGCTCTTGAGAAATGGTCATCCTCTCCTCAATCTGAAGAATTCACAATATCAATCACATTATTAGTAACTGTATAATTTCATATCCCATAGCAGTGTTAGTAGATTCTGTGTAATCAAACTCACCATCGTTTTGGTTTCCTGTATTTTGGCAGCTGTGGCTCTCACAGACTCATCAGATAAATCACACACTGAACAAACCAGGTCCAGATACGTGCTGGCCTGCTCCTGTAGAGCCCTAAAGTGCTTCACCTGTGGATAAGCAGTCAAAATGTAACTAAATATATTTAGGTTGTCTGGACAACTTTGAAACTGGTTTGTATTAGCATAGAATCATTCTGAAGCTCTGTTGCATCTACCTGTTTCAGAGCCTCTTGGAGGCCATAGGGAGTCTGCGCCTGCAGCTGGATCTCCTCTTTAACGGTGGACAGCCACGTCTGACACTGCTGCAGTGTGTCCTGATGGCTGACGTGCTTCTGGAGCTCACGGTCCAGACTCTGATACACCTGATGAGCCAAATGTTAACCATTAGACGGAAATAATACGATGATATTTCTGATAATGAGATCCTTTATTAGCAGGAGTGCTCACACGCTGAGCTGTGCTGCAAATAGCCGAATAACTGTCTCTGGTTCCCTGCTGGTGTGCCTGGATCTGCTGACTGATCTTTGCCTGGACTTGCTGTGTGCAGCTACTTGCGAGACGCTCGCCTTTGTCCTTCAGGCTGGTCAAATGCTCCTCAAAACCAGCTATCTCCTCCATTATTGCCTGAGAAGAAACAGGTCAAATCACGTCAAATGATATAGAAAAAGAATTGACAAAAATGAAGGTAAGAAAAGTCAGTAATTCCCCAAAACATATGTGCATATATATTTAAAAGTATAAAGATGTACAAACAGTGCAATATGCCAGGTGCTACAAAAGTGAACAGACTACGAAAATAAACGTTTATGTGAATGCTACAAGGATTTTTGGTAGTTTTATTGATTGCAAGTTACTGTAAAGCTATTGTTCATGGGATATTTGGATGCTATAATAGCAATAATAACACACCTTGTGTCTGGCTAGTTGTTGTGTGGCTGTCTCTAGACTACCACTTTGCATGGAATCAGAGGTGACCAGCCTGCTAGACATCTGTAACAGCCATTTCTCTACTTCTTGGAGTTCACTGTTATAGTCTTCATGTTCTCTCACGCTCTCCGTCAAACTCTGAACGTGGACCTACAAAAGAACAATATTAGATGAGCAATAATGCATGGAATCTAGGAAGCCGAGACCATTTTTGCATGACAGTACCTTGGCATCATTGCATAATTCTTGATAGTCAGCTTTCAGCTTGCTGATGTTCTCGCTGATAGACGGGTCACGGATTGTTTCAAGAAGTGCATCTCCCTTCTCTATAACTGATTTGACTGCTGACTCATGGGACTGGATGGTCTGCTGGATTGTCTAGAAGGGGACAAAGGAAACATTTGACATGACTCTCTGAAGATGGTTGCATTTGTCATCCTCATAACTAATTCAGAGCATGTATCTTCTATACTCACCAAAACGTAAGTGTTTTGCTCACCTTGTATTTGGCTAGCTGAGCCTTCTTTTGGTAAAGTTCAGCTTTTGGCTCCACTGGAGTCGCCAGCAGTGATTTGGTCTCTGTAAGCCATTGTGTTTGAGTCTTGTATTTGTCCAGGAAGTCTTTGGAGAGCTGTATGGATTTCTCTGTGGCAGTGAGCTCTGACCGCAGAGCTCTGATCAACGCCTCCAGCTGGGAGAGTCGGGTGTCAACTTCTTCCTTGAGCTGCTCTGCCTCAGGTTCCTCCAGGAAAGTCATGGCACGATCCGTCTTTTCACGCATGGTCTTCAGGAAGGTGTGACCCAGCTCCATGTCACCTTGCAGAGCCTGAGACGTTAAATATAAAGTTTCTTAGGCACGTGAACTTTCAGAAGTCATTCTAATATGCTGATTTGGTGCTCAAGAAACATTCCTTATTATTATAAATGTTGAACGCAGTTGTGCTGATTAATATTTTTGTGGAAACCGTGATACAGTATTCTTTTTGCAGTATTCTTTGATGAATAGAAAGTCCACAAGTCCACTGCATTTATTTGAAATAGAAATATTTTGTAACATTATAACTGTCTTTACTGTCACTTTAATGCATCCTTGATTAATTTAATGTGTCCTTGCTGAATAAAAGTATAAATTTTTTCCACAAAAAAAAAAGAACTCTTTAGTTAACCAAAGCTACCTCTAGTTTTTTCATCTTCTTCTCCATGGCAACACGATCAACCACATCAATGGTGGTGGTGGTCACACTGCTGAAGTTCTTTTGTGCTGTGCTCAACCAATCAGAGAAGGTGCCGAAGACACTCTGGGATTCTTCAATGCAGGAAACTTCCTCCTTCAGTTGCTTAATGGTGTCCTACAAACACATTTAAAATAGTAAAATTCAGCATGATCCTTTGTGTTATATAGATATATGTGTTTTAATCCTATAATTTAATGTCATAATTAACTAAAAATGTCCCAGAAATTGACAAGACATCTTAGAAAGAAAAGAGTGCTTTATAAGTAAATATTTCTAAATTCTAAAAATTAATTTTTATTCTGAAAATTGTACTCCTTTACAATTATAATATAATATAATATAATATATAAATACAATGGTAGTTTACGGTATGTCCTGATTTAGATGTGTGTGTTTAAAGTGTACCAGCAGGTGTAGCAGCAGGGCATGATAGCGTGACGTGATTTGTGTAGCTCTAGTGCTGACTCTGCTGCTGATGGGCGTCTCTTCTAAAACTTGTTGGGCCAGGACACTGAGACCCTCTATCTCCTCCTGATAAGCCAGCACCTCCTCATGCCAACCCTAAAGAGATATCACAACAACATATCAGACTCCATCCATACATATATTCTACAGGAACAGCTCTCTTTGCAAATAAAACAAAGACTGCTGGAGTATGTTAAACAAGAAAATGCTAATTCAGTTATTCTACTTCAAAAAATCTCATATTTAATTGGATGTGTTAATTGCTCTTTCTGCAGATTTGTGAAATTTACTAGCAATTTCATCAGTAAAAATGGATTCAAAGTAAATCCTACACTGTTTTTTCACTGTATGGTTCCTAGACTAACCGTCAGGAGCTGTAGCTGGGCCTCTTTTGTTGCTCTGTCAGAGCGGCGGCCGGAGCGTAATTGTCCTTTAGTTTCCATCCCTTTGAGCCAGTTATCCAACCGCTGGAACTTCTGCTCTATCTGCCGGAGTTTGGCCAGAGCGCTGTTGAGCTGAGATCTGGTCTCACCCAGCCGGACCTGATACGAGCCCCACTCCTGCTGGACCATCTCCAGGCATCGGTCCTCTAACTGCGGGACGCCCCAGGGAATCACCTGCTCTCGGGTCACCAGCAGTGTGTTGAGCAGGGCTTGACCCTCTGTGCAATGCACCTGAAGCTCCTGGAGACAGATAACAGAGTAATTTCTCTAATGCATATTTATATTAAAACCCCAAATAATCAAACTATTCAGCAGACATTACAAAAAAACTTCCATTATGAATATGGATGCACAGTATATTGGCAATTACATCGGTATTTGCCAATCTTGGCATTTCTTTAAATAAGTGACTCTAAACCAGGGGCCCCGAGCAAACTTGATGTCTTAAATGTAATTATTTAAATATAATTTAAATATATTATTAATAACAATTCATTATTTAATAAATAATAATAGTTATTATTATTATTTTTATACATTAAAACAATCTAACTTAATTAAAAAAACAGTATTCTCTTCTTCTGTCTGGTCACAAAAATATTAAACAATTATGCATCTTTCTAGCATATATTATAATGTTTTGATACATATTCTATATAAATATTCATATATTTACATATTTATTATGAGCATGTTATTTAAAAGCAATTCATTAGAAAAATCATTAAATAATATCATTTATAATGTCAGACATTATAATAATTACATATAAATAATTAGCTATTCGAATGAACCAAAATTTAAATAGACTATATCAGTGCATTAGTAATATTTACTGGTAAATACTGGTGTAAAAAAATCTCTCTCTCTCTATATATACAGTACATATATAATAATACATCATTATTTAATGTAATTTCAAACAGTCAGAAAGTTGATTCATATATTTTTGATAATATATTTGAATATACACGTTCTACTTATCTTAAGCATTTTATATTTGTTTATGATGTATTTAAATCATTCGCCAAATTCTTTTTTCTAAATATAACATAACTAAATATAAAAAGCATTCGTAAAAATATCCTGCAAGATGTTATAAAGTCAAGAGAGATAAAATGAACAAATAATGTGTCACAATAGGTACGTGAAGACGTCTTCTGACCTGTAGTTTGCGTAGAGTGTCCTCTAGAGTCTCGACGTCTCCCTCCAGCAGTGTGTAGCAGCTCAGTCTCTCCTGCTGCTGCTCCAGCCAGTCTTTAAACTCATGCAGGGCGCGCTGGTACTCCTGATGGGCCGACACCAGCTCCTCCGCTTTGGCAACTGCACACTTTGGCAGAAAAATATGGCAGAGTCCATTAACACAAATATTCAGCATATTCTATAAGGTGACCAATGAGAGCGCTGCATTATACCTGGGCTTTATCTTTGACAATATTGTAACGCTCTTGCAAGTCCTGAATCTCTAGCTGGGTGACATAGTGCTCGGCCATGTTGGATCCCTTCATGGATATGACATCCAAAACGCTGCTGTGACTTAAAACATCCTCTAGGAACAACTGAAATGAGAATGTTTGCATAGTATGTCAGGACTGACAACAACTAGAATGCAATTACTCGGAGACTCAAAGCATTGACAGTAACACCATACTTTGGCTTTGCCCAGGTTGGCGGTTTTGTCTCTCATCTCAGAGCACTGTTTGTCTGCAGAGTTTAAAGTCTCTTCCACAGTCTCCATCCAGCTCACAAACTGACGCACGTCCTCCTGGTAACTTGTCCACTGCGACAGAGCGCCCTCCAGCTGGCTGTTTAAACCCAAACACAACAGTAAGCAAATTCAACTTCAGCCAAGATCTCTCTTCTCATCAAGAACTGTTTTTGGCTGTATGGGATTCTAGAGTTGGCAATATAGGGCTAGATTTTCTGTTAGGAGTCTTTTGTTTGGAACTCAATTAATGAAAAGCTGTTATTAAAGCAATTCTTATTTTAGATTTATCATTTATTTTAATAATGAATATAAAGCTGGTCTTACTATTAAGATCTTATTATTCATGTAAATATATGAATAAATATATGTAATGAATTTGTAATGTAATATATAATATTTATTTAAAATTGTTTTTGAATAAAAAATATTTTAAAGATAGAGCAGAATGAAAATGTAATTATATATATTTAATAAACCTTTTTTGCCTTTTCTCTCAACTATAATATATATATAGACACACACACCGTAATCACAGTATAAATGTACCATAATGTAGTAAGATTTTGGTCGTATTGTTCACCCTTAGTGTAGATGCTTAATATGACTTGAATCAAAGTAGATATTTAAAGGGGTCATCCGATGCCCATTTTCCACAAGTTGATATGATTCTTTAGGGTTTTAATGAAAAGTCTGTAACATAGCTGGGTTAAAATTTCTCAATGGTAGTGTAAAAAACACATTTTCCTTTTCAAAAACAGCTCTTTTCAGAGCAAGCCGTTTTGTAGCATTTTCCTTTAAATGTTAATGAGCTCTTCTCACTTTTAAGGCTAAGAGAAAGAAGGTGGGTCTAAGTTGCATCCGGATGACAAAGCACCACATTCAAAGGGAAGGGGATTCATGGTGTCAAAAGGAGAAAAGAGGGCCCACATTGCATAGGAAACCCAACTGTCTGTCAATCTCACTGACTTTCAAAAGACACGGACATCAAAAGCCAATAGTATCTGTAAAAAACTCATGGCACACACTGCATCCCTCCAAAATACATAACAACACAATGAGTGTTTACAAGCATTACGCTTAATAACGTAATGTACGGTCATGTGTTTTTTATTTAAAGGGGTCATCCGATGCCCATTTTCCACAAGTTGATATGATTCTTTAGGGTTTTAATGAAAAGTCTGTAACATAGCTGGGTTAAAATTTCTCAATGGTAGTGTAAAAAACACATTTTCCTTTTCAAAAACAGCTCTTTTCAGAGCAAGCCGTTTTGTAGCATTTTCCTTTAAATGTTAATGAGCTCTGCTGACCCCGCCCCTCTCTTCCGAGCCGCTCTCTGAGGGACTGTTTACTTTAGCTGCATTCATCGTGAAACTTGCTAATTAGCACATTATTAGGAAAGGCGATTTGCAAAGATTCATTATGAAACATTAAACTCACTTCTTCTGTAGGTGAAGCTGGATCACGAATGATTTGTGCGAACATAAACGCATTTATGTAGGTCGGGTGTCGGGAGTAAATGACGACTGCTATGTTCATTATTACATCCAACAACAGAACACCTCAATCGCTTAGGAGTCATTCTTGTCTACATCTGCTCCGGCGGTGAAACAATGGCGGACTGATGACAGCTCACTCAGGGCGGAGCTAAGGTAAGACACCAGTCCAGTCTGTGCTGAAACACTACTGTCAATCAAACTATCGTGGGAGGGGCCTGTCTGTGTGACGTCACACAGACAGGCATCTGAGATCGGCTAGATTTGAGAAAGGGGAAAACATTTAACACGATTAAAAAAAAACCACTGGGTGGATTTTTATCATT